TGGTGGGAGGGACGAAGTGAGAGGTGGAAACGAGGAGCGAGTGGGGCCCAATGCCTGGGGTCTGCTGCTTAGCTTTGCTTTCTTCCTGGACTTAGCCCTCACAAGTTCTTTGGTTGTGGTTGATATTTGCATGTGGAAAATATACAGGACAGAATTAAAACCAAATGTGGGGTACAGCCACTGTGGAACACAGTATGGCGGTCCCCCCCAATTAAAAATAGAATTACCATATGATCCAGCAATTCTATTTCTGGGTATTTCTTTGAAGAAAAAACATAAATTCGAAAAGATTATCTGTGCCCCTACATTCATTGTAGTGTTATTTACAAGAGCCAGGGTATAGAAACAACCTAAGTGTCCATCAAATGCATGAATGAAGAAAGAAAATGTGGCATGTGGGTATATAAATGATATATTATTCAGTCATAAAAAAATGAAATCTTGCCATTTGCTATAACATGGATGGACCTTGGGGGCATTATGCTAAGTGAAATAAGTCAGAGAAAGGCAAATACCATACGATCTCACTTATATTTGGAATCTAAAATACACGCGCGCACACACACACACACACACACACACACACACACATGAGCACACAGATACAGAGAACAGACTGGTGGTTGCCAGAGGAGGAGGGTGGGCAAAATGGGTAAAGGGGGTCAAAAGGTATAAACTTCCAATTATAAAATAAGTCCTGGGGATGTAATGTGCAGCATGGTGACTATGGTTAATAATACTATATTGCACATTTGAAAGTTGATAAGAGTAGATGTTAAAAGTTCTCACCACAAGAAAAACAATCTGTAACATTTCTGGTGGCGATTGTGAACTAAACTTGTGATCATTTTGCAATAAATACAAGTATGGGACCATTATGTTGTATACCTGAAACTAATATAATGTTGTATGTCATTTATACTTCAATTTAAAAATATTTTATTTATTTATTCATGAGAGTCAGAGAGAGAGAGAGAGGCAGAGGCAGAAGCAGGCTCCCCACCTAGCAGGGAGCCCGATGGGGGGCTCGATCCCAGGCTGGGATTGTGACCTGAGCTGAAGGCAAACGCTTAACCCTCTGAGCCACCCAGGCACCCCTATACTTCAATTTAAAAAAAGAAACCAAATGTGGAACGTCATCTGGATCCGTTGTAGTTTCACTGGGGGGCTGGATGAATCCGGAGGAGGCATGGTTTGGAGAGGATGTTCTGGAAGGTTTCCAAAATCACTTATGGACTTTATTGGTGGGCCAGGCCAGAGACTCTTTTACATAGCTGTAGTTCATTTGAAAACACAGTTTTATATTCTGGTTTCTTCATAGAGCATTGCCCGTCCACATTCCCATACATCAATATACTTTTTGTATATTTGTCTTCAGTTGGAGCGGTAGCTTCCTGCTTCAGTTAAATCACTAAGCACTTGCCCATCATCTGTTTAATCGCTCTCAATCTTGAGGAGTTCGTATTATTTCTCGCTTTTCTCCATTACACAGAGTATAAACAGATATGCATACATTTATTCCTCCCTACTTTATTTCCATTTAGCCTATTTTACCAAGTGGAATTAGTGGATCAAAGAGTAGGAGCCATTTTATAGCTCTTGTTATTGTCTGGCGAGGCAGTCTTTGGAGGGCAAGGGTCATGAAACTCCCTTAAAACACTTAAGAGATTGAGTGTGAAGAAGCATTGGATTTATTCTGAATGGCTCACAGAGACTGGGCATCAGCGAGTTGCTGCAGTGACAGAGATGTAGATTAGTTTCTATATAGGGCAATTTGGAATATTTAGAGCTGCCAGAAAATGGCGCAGGCTGACTCCACAGGTAGAGATTCCTCCTTTCCAGGAAATTTTAAGCGTAATGAAAAGAGTTTTTAAAAAATTGTTTTATAAGCTTTCCAGATTTGCAATCTGTGTATTTTCCTAGCCCCTTTCCTTTGCTCTGAAAACAAAGTTTGTTAAACACTTATGAAGACCTAACGTGTGCCAGGTATATCTAGAGGCAGCCGGAACCCTCATTGGCAGCCTCCCAGCAGAATCCTCCAGGAGCCCGCAATCTGGGAATTACAACAGCATGAAGTCAGGCTTCTACCCCACCCCCAACTTCAGAACTGCTAAGCGTGTGGGTTCAAGTTTGTCTCCAGTTCCTTGACATCTCCTGTTCTGTGCTCATTGTCTACTTCCAGGTCGCTGCCCATATTCCACCCATTCTTAAGACCCCTTATTCCAGAACATTCTCTCTATGCTGTGCCATGCCTCCGAACGCTCCCAAACCAAATCCAGTACCTAAGCTGATTCTAAGTAATTGTTACATTGTCTTGTTTTTTTTATTTCTGCCAAAGGATATTTGTATTTAAAATTAGGATTTTTTTTTTTTTTAATGAGGAGGGTTCGTCCCCAGAGTACCTGTAATTGTTGGAATATAGTAGTCCTAATTCCACTAATATAACTTCACCTCCTCACCATGAACATAATGGGTGTTTCTCTCTCTCTCTCTTCCAGGCAAACAGCCTGATTTACTGAAGGAACCAGTTGCTTAACAGTCTGTTGGTTTTGGGTTTTGTTTTTTTAAAAGTCACCTACCTAGTAAAATGTAATCTTAAAACTGCAGACTTGGCCAGGGAGGAAAAGCCCCTATTGAGGATGAAGACTCAGCCATAGTCCCTGAGTTTGACTTTTTCTTGGAGGGTATTTTGCTGAATTTTTCCGCCAATGCCACACTGGCCTTGAGGAAGTCCTGCTCCCCTTTCGCAGTTTCTCCAGAATGCAAGTCGGCAGAATGACCCACCCGGAGGCAGCACAAGGCAGAGGCAGGAGGGCAGTGAGGAGAGACACGGTTCCGGGTTCAGCGCTGGGGCCACCACTGTGGTAGGAGGCCTTCAGCTTGAGCCTGGGCCACTGCGTCGTCATCAGTGACCACCTCCCCTTCTGAGGGCTCAGTAAAATCAGCAAATGTGGGAACACCAGCAAATACAATCACCAGAGCTCACTGTTCATTGTGTCGATGCAAACAGTGCAGAGAACTGATTGGTCTTGTAGTGTCAAGGTGAATTTTTTAAAATGTCCTTTTGGTTCCCAGAAAAAATACTCAGAAGGCTACCTTGGTTTTTTAAGAATTTTGAATTTGTGTTCCCTATATGAAAGATGCAAATCAGAAGCCCAGTTCTTCCTTAAGGCTTGATGGTTTTTTTAAATGTTATGTATGTATGTACATACGAAGCCCTGCTTCGAGCCCTACATGGGGCTTCCTGCTGCCTGGGGAGCCTGCTTCTCCCTCTCCCTTTGCCTGCAGCTCCCCCTGCTTGTGCACATGCCTCTCTCTCTGTCAAATAAATAAAATCTAAAAACAAAACAAATCACACATCTAAACCAGTTAACACATTTTATTTTTTTTTAAGGTTTTATTTATTTGAGAGAGAGAGAGGGACAGGGAGCAGGAGCAGGGGGAGGGGCAAAGGGAGAAAAAGACTCCCTGACGAGCAGGGAGCCTGATGTGGGGCTCCATCCCAGGACCCTGGGATCATGACCTGAGTCGAAGGCAGACGCTTAACTGACTGAGCCACCCAGGTGCCCCCAATTACACATTTTAAATTAGAATTGTAAGGCCAATTAATTACTGTAACAGATGAAAAATTTTTTAAAATACTGCAAATACCTAAAATACCAAATACGCACAAATTTCTTAATACAACATACTAATGCTATGTGTTTGATTGTTTTAAATATTTCTATCCTTAATTTAAAATTTTCTGGATGTTAAAACAAACTTACCTACTAAGAGAGAACTGTGTCATCCTAGATGGCTGGGGAGCCCCTTCCCAAGTACCTTTTTGAAAACATGTTCTCAGTGGCCCAGCAGAGATTTTGCCCCAAGACTTTTGGGTAGCTCTTCTCAGGCTCCCATCTGCTCCACGGAGCCCTCTTCCATGGGTGCTGTATCATTGCTCTCTGAATGGGCCAGTTCCACAGTCTAGGGCCCCCTAGGTTCAAGTTACGCTTCATGTAATTCTTCAACCTACACACACGGATGTCAGAAACTCCTACCCAGGTTGCTATACAACTTGTTTGGATATAATTAATCTATTGAAGGATTTAGTCTGTTCTGAATTCTTTCCACACTCTTTTCCAGCTTCTGGGGCCACCACTCTTACAGATATTGAATGGTCCAATTTCTTGTAGTGGTGCCTGACTCTGGTTATAGCCCTGGGGGTATGCCGGAAACATGTAACAGGATTTGTGGGTTTTTTTGTTTTGTTTTGTTTTTTTAAGATTTCATTCACCTATTTGACAGAGCGCAAGCAAGGGCAGCAGCAGAGGGAGAGGGAGAAGCAGGCTTCCCGCCGAGCAGGGAGCCCAATGAGGGGCTCCATCCCAGGACCCTGGGATCAGGACCTGAGCCGAAGGCAGACGCTTAACTGACTGAGCCACCCAGGCGCCCCATGTAACAGGATTTGTATTTAACAGAGAGTGGGTTTGCTTAGTGGGGATGAATGAAAGCCTAGGAGAGGTAGGAGAAAACTGTTCTGGAATCTATTTCACTATACTTTCTATCCTTTCTATATCATTGTACTTTCTGTTATCGTTAGATGGTGTTTCAAAGGTATTGTTTTCACTTGCCTCCCAAGCTAGATAACGAATCCTTGATTGCAACAACTTAGGTGTGTTTGTCTAACTCCACATCACAGACCCCTCCAAAGCCCTCATGTGTGTTGGGCATACCTTAGGAACCCAAGTTATTTGGAAAAAAGAAAACCCGAGAACTTTTGCGCCCTCTTAAGGCAGTACCTGGGATAGATGGTGAATTACCGGAGAAGCAAAGGAACGAAAAAGAATGAGTTCATACAGGTGTCTCTTAGACGAGGCCCTTGAATGATTGGGTATGATGTTTCCACCAACCAAGACTGGGAGATTGCAGGAGGAGGGGCAAGTTTGGAAGCCAGGCAGATCATGAGCTCAGTTCTGAGAGTTTTTCTTCAGACGCTTGCAGCCCCACGGAGGGGGCTGGTAAGGGCAGGTAGATGGCCTGGCACTTGGGAGATGGGGGATGGAGGTATGCTCTTGGGAGCAGGTAAGTGGCCTCTGAAGCCCTGGGCGTGTATCAAGTGCCTCTCGAGAGTGTTGTTGTGAGAAGAAAAAAGCTAAGAATAGGCCCCTGAGGAACACCCTCACTTAAGGTGCAGACAGAGGAAGTGGAGCTAGCTGCCCACAGCACTGGGGAGATGCCAAGGGGGTAGGAGAATGTTGTTTTTCTCTCACTTCCAGCACGTCTTCTTTGGTTAGAAGCAGAGGGGTGGCCAGACAGCGATAGTTATGGGCAGAGTGTGGTGTGGTGGGGCGCCGGGATGTTATGGGGGTGGGGTGGGGGGGTTGCTATATTTGGGGAGGGCCAGTGTGGGTGTGGTAGGTCACGGGGAGCTCTGCTTTCAATCTCTTTCTCTAGGAAGCAGGGAAGAGGGGTGGGCATCAGAACTGTTGGATTCTCTGCTTTCTCTGCCACTTCACATCTCCCCAAACACCCTTGGCTTATTCGGAGCTCTAATTTGTGTAGGAAAATCTCCTTCTAAATATGGGAAGGAAGCAGAGTTGGTGGAGGGAAGGAGAGGGGATGCTTCGCTGTTGAGTGTTGGTGTGTGTCCATGTGTGTTTGTGTGTGTTGTCCACACACGTGCACATGTATGAATATGTGTCCCTGTGTATGTGTATGGGTGTGGATGTGTGTGTCTTATGTTACTATTTATGTGCTAGTATAGTATAATATATATATATTATGTGTATAATATGTGCATGTTTTTCTCTGAGCGTCTCACAGGAAAAGTATAGAAACTGAGAGGAAGCATCGAGACACTTTTATGCCAATTTGATAGAGTGCTTTTATGTTAATTGAATCTAATAATAAGAAATTCGGCCTTGTGTTTTCTAAATGTAAATGCTCTTTCATTTTTCTAGTAATTCACTTTATCGGATTTTATGAAAACATTGGTCTGTGCCAGACTGCATACAAAACTGCTCCTTCCTCATAGTTAGAGAAGCACTAATTAGGACCAGATCAATATTCTGGGAAGGTCTTGATTCTGAAATTCCCCAGGGAGAGAGAGATTCACTTCAGAAATCTGAGGTTCCTGCTCTGGGTCGTATCAAGGAGGCATGAGGACAGACAAAGGGGTGGGGGTCAGGCCTGAGATCTGACTGGCATCTGGGGGCACAACCTGCTCTTCCTCCCCTTCCTTTCCCCTAAGTGAGAGGGGACCACCAGGCAGTTCTCAAGTGGGTAGGAGGCTGACCCTGCTGGGACTCCAAGCCCATGCCGGCTCAAGGTGCTGCCCTCCCTCCTGCCCGCAGAGCAGGTGAAGCTGATGCCTGAGAGGCAAGACGGGGTTTCCAAACCTCCATGCTTTCCCAGGATAGTAACGCACACTCAGTGGGGAAGAACAGAGTCTTTGACTGCAACAAAACGAGACACCTTGTTCCGGTACAGGGAACCCAGGTAGATCTTCCTGCCTTTCTTCCTTAGATAATCTTCCTTGCCTGGGTCCCTCTGAACTGTCCAAACACAGCCCTCCCAAGGCCCTGACTTGGTTGGCATTTGTCATTTTATATTGCTTTTCTTTAAGAGGGTCTCCAAAATTATACACGCCTTAGGCCCCACAAAACCTGGATACACCTTTGCTGAGATCCTCAGTGCTTGACCCTGGAAGGGCCACACACTATCAAACTCAGAAAGCAAGTGAGCAACAGTGAAGGGTTAAAGAGAATGACTCTTCTTTCCTCATCATTTGGAGCATCCATAAAACCCCCCATGGAATTAAGAGTATGTGAAGTTGGGTGCGTGGGAGGGAAGCGGCATTTGCAGAGGGGAAGGATTAGTTGAGAACTCAAGGGTGGAAATTCAGCAGCGATGTCCGGAGCGTGCAGAGCTTGGGGTGGGGTTGTGGGGGGCACCTGGCTTTAGATGGTATTATCCAAGTGCACAGGGACCACGGTACCAGCTGGAACCAGGCCATCCTTTTCTGCTGTGGAGGGACACAGGCCATGGTGTGAGGGGTGGTCACTTGCTTCTCGTTGTACAGCAGTTTAGACACATCCCTGAGATGAGCTCGCATGTAGTTAAGAACACAAGCCCTTGGCCCAGGTGGCCCAGTTCTCATGGCCGTTCTTGCAGGGTACGCTGCAGATGTGACAGGTGGCATCTCTCGTAGGGGAGTAATGGCGCGGAGGAAGAGTATGACACCACGGGGGGAGCCCTGCTTGTCCCTCTAAGAATTTCATACCCTAAGGCAGTTATTGCAGGGCTTCTACGGCCTCAGACATTTAAGACCACCACTGACATTTTATGGCTCAGTCCCAGCAGAGAATGTGCCTTTTTATGCCCCCCAGTAAATACTTATATTGTTTATACCTCATAAGAGTTTTATGAGGCAAGTATGATTACTTTTTTTTAACATATGAGCAGACTGAGGCTCAGACAACTTAAGGAAATTGCGCATCGCCACACAGCTAAAGAGAATCAGATACAGGATTTTAATCAACGCTTCTTGGTTTCTAATGTCCCTGTTCTTTCCACACTCCCAGGTTTCTTGTTTGAAACACTGAGAAGTCAGACCACAGGGGTACGAATCTCGGAAGAAAAATGGGCTAAGTGTCCACACTCCACTCTCCCAGGCTAGCTCAGGCATTCCTGAGTCAGTGTTAAGGTTGTGGAGTGAGGCTGATTCCTTTCTGTTCTGTGGCCTAGTTGCTCACCGAAGCTAGAAAAACAGTCGCTCCCGGTAAGAGAGTCACTGCTCCAGCTGGTCAAGCAGCATGGTAGTTGGGTTCTTTCTGTGGCAGACATTTTCCCTGTTGGAGAAAGTCTTGGAATGATAGAGTGTCAGAGCTGGAAGAGCTCTTAGACATATCGCAGTCAATTCCCTACTGTACAGATGAAGGAGCCGGAGTTTGTGAAAGAGGCCACCTATGAATGATAGAGCTGGGGCCAGGAGCTTTCTGACTTCCAACCCAGCCCTTTGGTGTGGTGCCAGGCTGAAAAGGGAGGAAGAAAATGGTTCCCATAGGGGGAGGGCACAGTGAATGTGTCTCTGTTTGTAGTCTTGGGTGGTGCATGAACATTGTCTTCAATAATTCTCTTCTGATCGTTGTGATAACATTTAGGAGGAAGTCTCCTATTAGAGCAAGGAGGTAAATTCTTTCTCCCCCTTTCCAAGAGAGGCCACAGATCTCAGGCTGAGTCTTTGCCTGAAAACAATATCTGGATAGAATTTTTAAAAACTGGATGATACTGGGGCGCCTGGCTGGCTCAGTCGGTGGACCATGGGACTCTTGAGCTCAGGGTCGTGAGTTTGAGCCCCACGTTGAGCATAGGGATTACTTAAGAAAAAATAATGATTAAAAAATAAAAAGGGCACCTGGGTGGCTCAGCTGGTTAAACGTCTGCCTTTGGCTTGGGTCATGATCTCAGGTTCATGAGATCAAGCCCCACGTTGGGTGTAGAAATTACTTAAAATAAATAAAACTTAAAAATTTTTTTAAAAACCAAAGAATTTATATATATAGATATACATATATCTTTTAAAGATTTATTTATATGTCTCTATAACTATTTATTTTATATATCTATATAAAGATTTATTTATATATCTATATAAATATATAGATATATATCTTTTAAAGATTTATTTATTTATTTGAGAGGTGGGGCAGAGAGAGTCCCAAGCAGACTCCACACCCAGTGCAGAGCCCCACGCAGGGCTCAGTCTCACCACCCTGAGATTACAACCTGAGCCGAAACCAAAAGTCAGATGCCCAACCAACAGTGCCACCCAGGCTCCCCTACAATATATATTTAGTAAGTTATAATACCAGCAGTAAGGGGATATTGCAACAGTTGTCAAGGGATGAAGCAAGTGACTGCAGTTGGGGCACTTGCTCTGGGCTACAGCTTCTCAGGTCCATGTGGTTGTGTTGGACCCCACCCAGCATCTCAACCTCTGGGATTTGTGTGACTTCCCTGCCTTGAGATAAAATGCTTCTCAAAGTGGCACAAATTCCTGAGTCTCCTAGGATCTCCGTTGCCAGAGGGGCAACTGCTGAGATGTTTGTCCCTCTGCCACCAGGGTGGAGCCTGGTTCACCAACACAGCTCACCTTTTCCACAGCAGGGATCTCTTCATGCTCTCCTCCCCACAAAGCTCACAAAACATTGATTTTTGAGCCCAGGAGAACATTATCCAGCCAACAGTTGACTTGGTTCCCAGGGAGCAAATATATATATATATATATATATCCAGGAAGTCATTTCTCTTTTGCAGGCCTTCAGCTGAACCTCTCCCATGGGGTTGGGAGGATCACCAAGTGATTATTCATTAACAGTTGCAGACCCAAGCCTCCAGGCTTTGGAGTGAGGGTGGGGATGGCGGCGGGAGCCAAGGGCTGGCATGAACATTCGTGCTGACCAAGATGGTTGACCACAGACTTTGCAAGCCCTGAATCCAATTAAGTTGCAAACATGCTTTTCCTCAGGTAGGTTCTGAGCCTGCAGCTGGCCAACTCCACTCAGGCAGGCCTGGGAAAGGGGTTCCTTTGATTACGTGTTTGATCCTAGTCATTCATCATAACTCTTCCCAACTGCCACAGTCTCAGGGCCCTTTTATCCATTAAGCACTAGAAGCCCAATGTCTAGGATTTGGGAGGTTTTCAAGGGCCTATGCTATTGGCGACTGGGAAGAAAACAATATAGCCTCCAATAAAGGAAAAGTCAACTTCAAAATCAACTGTAAAATATGTATTTACCTGTTACTGCAGTAACAAAGTTGACTTCATTTATTTTGAAATTTGGCACTCATAAAAACTTATTACATTGCAAAACAATCTCAGGGGAAATTTTCTCATTTTATAGGAATTCTCAAGTACTACAGTTGCAGAAGGAGCGGTACCAATTGCAAAGTATTTGTAGTCAATTTCAGAAGTAAAGCTTTAAATATCATTTCAGATACACTTCTGCAAGAATGATACTGAATAAGGAATATGTATATTAAATATATTCAATGTGATGAAGTGTTAAGGTGTCTAGCACGGTATGGTGGTACTAAACACGGCCCTACTTATGAGTCCAGTCAGCACAGGCTGTACCAAGGGATACCACTAACCACCATTCCGTGAAGGTCTGCTTGGCACAGTGATAGGTACTTTGTTAAGAATTCTAGCTAGCGGGGCGCCTGGGTGGCTCAGTCGTTAAGCATCTGCCTTCGGCTCAGGTCATGATCCCAGGGTCCTGGGATTGAGCCCCCGCATCGGGCTCCCTGCTCCGTGGGAAGCCTGCTTCTCCCTCTCCCACTTCCCCTGCTTGTGTTCCCTCTCTCACTGTATCTCTCCCTCTCAAATAAATAAAATCTTAAAAAAAAAAAGAATTCTAGCTATCATATAAAGAAGTATTTACTGGGGCACCTGGGTGGGTTTGTTTTTGTTTTTGTTTTTTATCTGTGTAAATACTTTATTCTGTTTCTACATAAGGTATTGAAATTTACACATTATTTTTAAGACAACTAATATACAGCTAACTGAAATAAAATATACAAGAAGCTTATGAGATATGAGATACAGATGAGAAAACCTGAGAAATTTTTAATTTGCCCTACTGGGAACATCAGAACTCCTGGACTTGATATTGGCCTTGTGTATCAAATATTTTTTTCTGTAAGTACTAGCTGGCACCCTCCCAAAGAAGTCGGTTAAGCATCCGACTCTTGATTTCAGCTCAGGTCATGATCCTGGGGTCCTGGGATGAGCCCTGTGTTGGGCTCTGCGCTCAGTGGGAAGTCTGCTTGAGATTCTCTCTCCCTCTCCCTCTGCCCCTCCCCCTACTCATGAGTGTATGCACGCTCTCTGTGTCCCTTAAATAAATCTTTTAAAGAGTGTTTACTGTGTGCCAAGGCATTGTGCTTTATATATAACGTTATCTACAAAGAAATTATGTGGTCCATGTTATTACCCCCATTTTACAGAAAAGAAAACTGAGGCTTGGAGAGGTTAAGGTTACAGATTTAGTAAGTGAGATTGAAAATGAGATAGGTCTGGCTCCAAAGTTATGTTGTTCCTTTTTGCCACACTGCTCTCCCGTTTATTGAAGTTACCTTATAGGCTAAGAGTCACCTGGTCACCAAATTCTATTCTAACAGACTGGTCTCCCTTTTGTCTCCTGGGCATGTGTTGCTCTTTTCAACTGTACTTCTGTTCTGTTTTGTTTTTCTTCCCTGAGAGCCCTCCCTCAAATGTTAGTCATCTTTCAGAGCTCGGCTTGATCACATGTGTGAGCACTGCCGGTCAAGTCCACCCTAGGCTAATCCCTCCTGAACCTAAACCCTCCTGAACCCTCCTTCAGCATTGCTTCCTGGTACCACTCATTTGAGTCCTTAATTGTGTGCTACCTTGTTTTGTTATTTGATTCTCACATGTGTGTCCAGTCTTCCCAACTGGTTGGAAAACTCGTGGGACAGGAATCGGGTCCTGCCGTGCTTCGCTAGCCCAGAGGCGACACTCAGTGCCTGTGTTGCCTCTCAGAATCCTCGTAGTTTCTAACACAAGGGTGCATGAAGTTGCATAACTTCTAAAATGCTCCTGGTACGAAGACTCTATGAAACAAGAAGAAACATCCAAGTGCTCGCAGCCAGACTAGTACATAAGAAGAGGCTCCACAGTTAGACCCTGGAGGCAGCTCAGAAGAGGACGAGCAGAGAGTCCGCAATGATCCCCTAAAGACCAGTGTTTTCCGGATACCCGAGGAAGGGTAGGTAGAAAAGTCTGTCTGGGTCACCGGTGGGAAGGACAGCAGCAGCATGAGGATAGAGGGCAGTCCTTGACCTACAAGTGCCACCCTCAGTATGGGTCATCAGGCTTCCCCCTGCGAACGGACTCCTGGTGGGTAAGAGGCAGACTCTTCAGGAAGAAGGGGGTTCTGGAGGAGGGGGGTGGTGCAAGAGGGGCCGGGGCCACTACCAATGACCAGGAGTGGCTAAGGGGGACGTGGGGGTGTGCATTTTCTGATCCTTTGCTTGGGTCCTTTGTGAGATTGTCCAGAAGCAGTTCCCAGTCCCTCAGTGGAGGGCAGTGGTAGGACCCATTCACGGAGCTTGTGTACGAGGTCCAGCGGTGACTACTGAACTGGAAGCGACGTGCTCTGATAAGTTTGATAAGTTCCTCGTGACAGGGTGTGAGAGGAGCTGTTGCTGCCTGCGGGCGCCAAGGTGGAGACCAGCTGGGGTGCAGAAGGCTTGAAATAGAATCCACCCAGAGGCAAGCCCGATGACGGTAGAACATCAGCTGCTGGAGGCAAGTGGCTGCTGACAGTTGTGTCTCTGGGTTCCACGTAGCTTTTCAGCTAACTTTCTGCCAAACAGCTTGACAAACAAACATCCATGGTGGATCCCCTGGAGCCAGGACAGGTGACAGGAGGGAGCACTTACTCCTGACAGTGATCCCCGCCATCCTGGCCTTTGACCGGCTGCCACTGTGCAACCTTGCTGCAATGCTGATTCAAAAATGAGACTGACACTGTGATTGTTTAGCTCCCCAGTGATGTCCTGAGTACGTATAATGATATCCCTGAGAGAGAGAGAGAGAGAGAGAGAGAGAGAGAAGAAAGGAACAGAATAGTGCAAACCGAGTGAACGTCTAAGAAACTGGGTAGAGGCGGGCTTAGGCTGGAAAAGCCCAAAAGCGAACAAGAAGGGTGAAGGGACTTCAGGGCAGCGTCCTGCTCTTGAGCAGCTCTGGAGGACAACAAGCCTACCATGCCCTGCTCTTCTGAATACCCTTTTTCGTCTCTTTGCTGGGATCCAGGATCTTGGCAATGAAGTTAACCACCAAGGCTGGGGGAGCTGGGTTGGTCTCACATTGAGGCAGGGGTTTTGTCAGAAGCTTCCAACAGGGCGCCTGGGTGGCTCAGTTGGTTAAGAAACTTCCAACAGGGAATCTCTCCAAGAGAGATTCTCGTCCAAGAGGGGTCCTTGGCTCTGAAGACCCATGGCCATGACATATCTTGGATCCTGGTTTCTGAACTCTGAGGCTTAGAGTTCTATTATAAGGAATTCATTGCCATACTTCTTCTAAAAAGACTCACTCTGTTCCCAGTGGCTGACCCTGTCTCCTGCCAGGTCCATTTCCTCTTTACTGTGTAAGCTCTTCGGGGCCTTCTCAGGGAGCCCAGTCCCACCATGATCTTGCTTCAGCAGGTGGACTGTCTCCCTTGTTCCTGACTATAGGATCTGTCCTCAGGAAACACAGCATGTAATCTTCAGCCTAACCAGAGCTGAGGCAGGGGGCTCCCCTCACATGCGTTTTGTGGTCTTTGACTTACTACAGGCCTGTGTGCAGCATTTGGACCTCCTAGTGGTGACAAAAACAGCAGTGATAAAAATGATTGTAGCTAATATTTACTGAGGGGTTTCTATGTTCCAGTCACTCTTCTAAATGCTTTATGTCTGTGTTCTCTCTCCCTCTCTCTCTTTTTTAAGCACATGAAGGACCTTCCTACTGCCCTTGCCCCATAACTGTCTTATCTTTCTCATCCAGTTCTTGAAGAGAAATACTGGTCAGAGACTCAGACACCCAGAGAGCAAGTTAAGGAAAACCCCACTAAGGCCAGTGTACTCCTACCTTTGACTGAATGCAAATGTGTGAGTGCTGTACAAAGACACAAGATAAATGTCTTTTTTCCCAATTTTCCTGAAATTATTCTGGGGGAAGAGGAAGTAATTTAAAACATTATTTTTAATAAAATAAAATGATATGATGGAGTATATTGAAAAATTCAAATAAATTACAGGGTATTTACTTTACAATTTAAAATGTTTTTGCTTTGAATTTCAAATTTATATGTAAGTTTCAGAAAGAGTGCACAGAGCTCCCCTGTATGCTTTGACCAGATTCCCCAATTATTAACATTTCTGAACTATTTGAGAATAGGTTATAGACATGATGCTCCATTACCCCTTAATACTAAAGTATCTCCTAATTACAAGTTCCCTTGGCTACATCAGCACGGCACAGCCATCCAAACCAGAAAATTAGCTTTGATCTGTTATTACTTGCAAATTAAATTTTAAGGTAACATATAAAACATCTTTGCACTTGGCTATTCTAAAAATATTAGTTAAGTGAAAGAAGGAGGCTTCAGAGAAGGCTCATGCTTGCTGGTCATGACTTTAGGTGTTTTAATGAATTCCCCTCTGCCATTACTAGCTCTGAGTAGTCTGAGACACATTGCTCTGTGTCTAGTTGACCATGAAAATCCAGCCCTGGATGCATCAACTTTGAAGGTAAAGAATAGTGACCCTTACCAAAGATAAAATGTTTTGGGATGTCTCAGGCCCACCTGGAGGTCTGCCAAATGCTTTCAGCCTGGCCCCAAATAGCAGATGGAAAGTGAAGACCTTTGTTCTTGCTGCATGCCCTTATTCATGTCTCCAACAGCCAGTGGTACGGCCTAAGGACATGCTTGACTTGGTTCATAACCAAGTCCTTGGGTGCTGTTTTGTTCCCATCTTCACTGACACAATATGAACATTCAGGTGAAGGGGATGTGGTCCATGGGTGAGAGGCAGAAATGTAAACATGTTGGGATTACGGACACTAAACCCTATTTTGAATGAACATGATTTTGTCTCAAGTCCGGGAATCTGCCTCTTTGCAGATTGATTTGCCAGTCCATGGATAGTGAATTTTACCTTGGAAAATGTCTGAGATCCAACTGGGACAATTAATCAGAATGTCAGTTTGGAAATATCACTGGACTGGTTCAAGAAGCCTAAGTACTTACTTAAACTAGCCATGTGATCTTGGACAAGGTGTTTAAGTACTCTGGGTTTTATTTTATTCATTTGCAAAATGGGGAAGGCTGGACTAGATGATCTCTGAGGTCAGTGGACACAATCTCTTGTAACATTTAATTTTATGAATATCTGCCGAAAGAGACTAAAGCTTTACAGACGTGTAGATCTGTGTTGTGCTAAATGCCACGGCCCGAGCAGGAGTTTGTACTCATTTACACCACATCTGTTTATGCTTTAAATGTGTAAGCTCAAGTAAGTTTCTATGTGAAGGCCATTGAAAGTGACAGCTATGGTGCTTTCCCACTGCAAGCAGTCCATTGGAAAGCAGGGAAGGACCATGAGCCATGGGCACTGGTGGCACTTTTGAGTGATTGAAGACAAAGTAGGAAAGGGAGCTGAATCTGGGAGTGGGAAGAATATGAGTCCACGATGTAGGCAAGAGCATAGTAAGCTCACCTGAGGACTGATTTCAATGTCAGGAGGGGAAGTTGGAAATGTCACTAGAGCTCTCTCGCCATTAATTGCTGTGATACTTGAACCCTTTGGAGAGGAGCTGGCGTGGAGGACACCCTCAAAAGTTAGTGGCCCTAAATCCTCTGTCTTCTTTTTATATCTTTTGATTCATGGAAGGTAGAGTTGGGAAAACAAAACAAAAAAAACAACCCTTAAGTAGTCTTAACAGAAATACTCAATTTAGCACCCCCTCTTTTATTCGCTCCAACTGAAGCATTGTCCCCTACCACTCCAAATTACTTTACCTAGAGAGATAATGCATATTGTCCTTTTTGTCTGACCTTGAGCCTTACTTTATCCGCTCTTGGCTAGGGACTACTTTTGGCAAAGGGAGGCTAAGGAGGAGTTTGGCCTCGTTTAAATCCTTTGTTTTTCTGTCACGGAAGTCAGGCCTGTTCCATCCATCACAGGTTTGGTCACCCAACATTTGACACCACAGCAATAAATATAAATGATAACACCTCTTGAACTTTTCCTACAGGCCAGCCACTGTACTAAGTGCTTTAAATATATCGTCACATTTAATCTATCTAATACTCCTATGAAGTAGCTTACCTTTATAGAGATAAGGATTTTCCATCATAATGTGTATTTCCTTTATAGGTAAACATCTTTCTTTACCTCCCCTCTTGGGAACAATGGGCTTCCTACAAGGTCCCATTAGTGATGTTTTCTCATGCTTCTGTGGACTCATGGATGCTCCCAGGCTGACTGATTTGGAGTCCTTCACAGGTAAACATCCTGGCAAGAGCTGTACCTGCTCTTCTTTCTACCTTCCATGGTAGGATAGGGGTAGGTGGAGACCTTTTAAAAGAGAGAATCTAAAGTCTTCAAAATACTTTTGGAAGCTCAGTCATGCAGGAGCATAAGAACGGGCCAAGGCTCCCTGAATGTTATTGCTATCGGTATGTTTTCTGCTGCCATAGCACTGGGGTTATCCCCTAAGCCATGGATATTATGAATAAGGCCATTGACACTATGAATCAATGTGTGGAGAAGGGTCCTCATCTCAAGGGCATTTCCTCTTCTCACATTCTCCCCTTGGGTTCAGGACACTTCTCCTCACATTGACTCAGTTGGCCTTCTTCATAGTGTCTTTGGGTCATTTACTTCAGAGTATGGAGACTGGGAAACCAGGGTCATGTAAAAGAGTCTCCTACCTAAAACACCTCAGTTCTCACTTGTAGGAAAGTGAGTGAGCTTTAGCACCAGTTCTTGGGTTACTTTCTTTACTGGACTCCATTTCTTTTCTTTTTTTTTAGGGAGAGCGCACATGGGTGAACGGGTTGGGGGGTAGAGGGAGAGGGAGAGAGAGAATCTTGAGCAGTCTCCATGCCAGCATGGAGCCTGGAGCCCGACATGGGGCTCCATCTCACGACCCTGAGATCATGACCTGACCAGAAATCGAGAGTCAGACGCTTAACTGACTGAGCCACCCAGGAGCCCCATACTGGACTCCATCTCTGCTTCTTAGGTCCAGGTTGAAACAATTTTCTTTAAAGACACCTACACAAGGCTGGGTAATGTTCCCTTCACACCCTCCTCCCCTCTCCAAGCTCCCACCCCCAGAAACAGAAGTGTTTAATAACTAATCAGCCTCCTTTTCCCATTCTTCAAGTTTTAGGTAGGAATGCATCAAACTTCAGCCAGGCTTGGTAATTGGCCCAAACCTGTTATTCACTTTGGACCTCACATTTGACCTTTGGAAAGCTGAATAACCAAATGCTTATTTCAACATTATTCTTGGCATCTGTCAACTTGGCTGTGATCAAGGTCATGTGAAGGAATGGGTGACTGTCAAGCAGTTGAAGCATCAGTAATGAGAACAAGGCAAGTCATTTGGATTTATTGTTAAAATCTGAATCACTTTCAAATATTAGTGAGCATTCTAGATGTAACTTGGGAGTGAAATTTTCCTTATGGACTTTTTTAAATGTCAAAATTCTATCAGTCAGTAGAAGTATAAATGCACATTTATTATTTTAAGAAAAATGCTATAGGGGTGCCTGGGTGGCTCAGTCGGTTAAGCATCTGTCTTCGACTCAGGTCGCGATCCCGGACTGCCGGCATGAAGCCCGGCGCTAGGCTCCCTGCTCATCGGGGAGTCTGCTTCTCCCTCTGCCCCTCACCCCGCTCATGTTCTCTCTCTCTCTCACTCTGTCTCTATCTCATCTGAGATAATAAATAAATAAAATCTTTAAAAAAAGAAAAGAAAAGCTGTAATAATGGTTGTCAAAGCTTATATACAAAACAATGAAGAATTTTCACATAAAATAGGAAAATTAGCTGACAGTTAATATTTAATAAGAGATAGTATATTAATTGGATAACTTTAAAAAGAAGCTTATGTACTTTTTGAGCCAAAAGTATTTATAACAATTTAATAAATAGTATAAGTACTATTAAATTCAAAACATAGTATAAGGCATAACAACAGAAATTAGATTATATCTTAATTCTACCTATGATACCATGATATCATAGTTGTTACAGAATTGATTCATGTATTAGCATTTATCATGTTAAATAAAACAATTCTTTTTTTTTAAGATTTTATTTATTTGACAGAGAAAGACACAGTGAGAGAGGGAACACAAGCAGGGGGAGTGGGAGAGGGAGAAGCAGGCTTCCCGCTGAGCAGGGAGCCCCATGCGGGGCTTGATCCCAGGACCCCAGGATCATGACCTGAGCTGAAGGCAGACGCTTAATGACTGAGCCATCCAGGTGCCCCTAAATAAAATAATTCTTAAGAACTATACATTCAGGAGGATTTTTTTGTTGAGGTATAACTCACATACAGTCAGGTACACAAATCTTAAGCATACAGCAAAATGGGTTTTCCGACAAAGTAAACATATCCAGACCGAGAAAGAACATTTCCAGCTTACCTCTTACCCCTTCCCAGTTAGTGCTCCCCAAGATACCACTATTCTGAACTCTACCACCACAGGTTACTTTTGAATTATGCTGAATTTTTAGTTATTTAATACTATTTAGGTCATGAATCTTTCAAGAAAAAGTTTTATTTGGAAATTCTTCTCATTTTGAGAGGATGCATTAGAAGTATCATTTTAGCCACTTCAAAATTTTGTGAGGAGGATGTCTTCAAAACCATAACATCCATAAGAAAAAAATCAATATATATAATTTATATTTATATGTGATATCAACTTATACAGTTTATGTCTATATGAATATATAAAGAGTTATGAAAAAAATAATAAAGGGAAAAAATCAATACCCCTAAGTATCTTGCTTTTCTATGCATCTCAGTCAAAACCATCTGTTTAGAGTGATAAATGTAGAGTATAATGACCATTTACACTCAGTCATCTGGCATTTGGCTACAATGTGTATTTAGTGCATCTCTACTTCCAAGACTCACCAATGTATTGGTCCCACATTCTGCTTGAATTGTTCAATGTTCTGCTCTTTCTTTGACCATACCCTCCCTAGCTTCTCTCCTCCTCTCAAACCACCCAGCCCAGCTAGCAGGACTTTGCTTGCAGACCTGTCCTCTAGCATACTCAAGAACCTCTCTCTAGCAGGAGAAAGCCCTCAAGGAAAACTGAGTGGGGTATTTGCCTTCATCTGCATGCTTGCCAAGGTGAATATGACTGGACTGCTATTTGCTACTTCCAGTGATCATTATTAAATGCCTACCAGTGCTGAGGGCTGATTAAGGCTACATAAATACCATTTCTAAATCTTCCTGCAATCCTGTTGGGTAGGTGGGATTACTCCCATTTCACTGTATGGAAACACAGCTGCAGAGAGATGCCTTAGTTTGCTTGAGGTCACATAGCCAGGAAGACCGAGCCAACCAAGATTTACACCCAATTTTTTCTGGCTCCAAAGCTGACTCTGACTCTGGTAAGGAGTAAAGGAGCACTGGCGGTGTCGGGGAGGGACAGGAAGAGAAGAGACGCCCTGGCTGGGAAGGGAAGGTCTAGCAAGGTAGCTGGGCGGTGAAGTAGGGCGGGCATGGGGCATCATGCAATTTGGGACTGAAATAAAGGAAAGAAAGAACGGTCAGGTGATGGTCAGGGCTGCAGGCAATGGGGGTGGGGTGGGGCGTTTGCACCTCAAAACAGAGCCAAGGTAAAGCTGTAGCTTCTCCAGTTCTGCTCACTAGAGACAGAGCAATGGTGTCTGTAGCCCAGGGGGACAGGGAGATGGCATTTCCACATCTCAAGCCCTCCGGCCTGGGCAGACTGCCAGAGTGGGGAGCCAGGGAAGCACCGAGGCAGGACAGATCATTATCAGAGGAAGGAAGCTCTGGCAGCTCCCACCAGCCTGTTTGTGACCAGCAGGCTCTGGGCCACGGAAGTCCCTTGAGGTCAAGGGAAATGTGATCCTGGAGCAGGGGGATGAAGCTGGGACACTCCCCTGACCCTATGCCTTCAGGCCAAAGGGATCTAGCCAGAGACAGGCCCGGGGCCCAGGTCGGAAGGGCAGTGGGCTAGAGAAGGGGGAGGCCAGTTAGAGAGGCAGAGAGAGAATGAATTACGATCCCTGGAGGACCTCATAAACAGGTCTTGGCTAGAGAGCTAGTGACCTTGATTACAGCGGGCACAGGGTAACTGGCTCCTAAAAGCTCTCAGGGTACATATCTTCATGGGTGAACTCTTACCCAGTTCTCTCGTCCCTGCAGAGGTCTCTCCTTTTTTGCCCAAGGGACAAGTACAAAGTGCACTGTATTTAGAATAAGGAGACCTAGGTTCAAGTCCAGGCTCTGCTACTCACCAATTTGACAAGCTCTTTTTTTTTTTTTTAAGATTTTATTTATTTATTGAGAGAGAGAGAGAGAGTGGTAGAGAGCATGAGAGAGAGGAAGGTCAGAGGGAGAAGCAGACCCCCTGCTGAGCAGGGAGCCCGATGCGGGACTCGATCCCGGGACTCCAGGATCATGACCTGAGCCGAAGGCAGTCGCTTAACCAACTGAGCCACCCAGGCGCCCTGACAAGCTCTTTAATTAATTACGCTTTCTGAAAGCTCCATTTCCTCCCCCAAAGAAGGCCCACAATCCCTCTCAAGTCTATCCCAAGGGACTCATGTGGCAACACCATGAAAAACCTAAAGTGCTATATAAATATGGAGTGGTACCTCGTTTTCTTTCTTTCCACCCGCGTCTCCTCACACAGGTCATATCACTACTACGTTAGCCGGGGAAGGTTCTTAGCTCGGGAATAGGAACAGCTCTGTCCATAAATCCCAATTTGTACTTTCGTTTCCTCCTCTTGTCAGGCTGCCGTGAAGATGGGGCAGGGGAGAGATGTCCCAGGCACAGACCCGGGAACCCACACCCGTAGCTTGCTCAGCCCCTCCTTTGGAGATAAGCTTCTGGGAAAACAGCCACAGAAAGAGGAAGGACCGACCATCTCTTCTGGAGCTCAGCCCTTTCAGAAGAGGTTGAGCTAAGAGGGGCCCTAAGACACGGGAGGAAGATATAACCTGTGGGCCATACGAGGACTGGCCCAGGGGTCTGCAGAGGGAAGTCAGGCACAGCACGAGAGGGAGGAAGTCCGAAAACCTACAGGATTTTGTCCAAGTGCACAGGAACCAGCTTGAATTTCCTAGAGTCCCCTTTCTCAGGAGGGTCACAGGCCGCAATGTAAGAAGCGACCTGTCGCTTCTCTTTGTACTTGCAGCCTGGGTACTTCCTTGAGGTGAGCTCACATGTGCTCAGGGAGACAGGCTCTTTGCTCTGGTGGCAGTTTCTTTGGCCCTTCTTGCAGGCTATGCTGCGGGTCTGACAGGTGGCGGCCACACTGGAGAAGGATTGATGCAGGAAGGTGTTGAAGGGTTTGCAGTGTTTCGTGTACTTGTTGACCTTGCCCATCGCTGTGTTGCACCGCTGGGGCCTGGGCTGCACGTGCTGAATTTCAAACCACTGAGCCGAAGTCACGGTGCTGGGCTTGGCCCTGACAGGGACCTCAGCCACCCACAGCCCCAGCAGCAGGAACAGCAGTAGGGGGCAGGATCCTGCTCTGGCTGCGACCCTCTCTCGCAGGGGAGCAGTGCGGATGGAGGGCTGGGGTTGCTGGGGACGGACAGCAGGGGGTGAGAAATTAGTCTTTCTGTATGTGTCCTTCTATCTCATCACCGTTACCCTCCCCTAGGTCTCCTTCCTCCCTCCCCCTGTGTCTCATCCTCTCTTCCGGCTCCGTGTGCCCTCCTCACCCACTGTGACCCCATCCCCCTCACCCCATATGCCCGTCTTCCCTCATTCTGTCCTTCTCGCCTCCTATTCTTTGTTCTCTCTCTTCTCCCTCGAGACCGATTCCCCCTGTGTCCTTATCCCTTGCTCTGTGTCTCATCCCTCCCATGATACCATCCCGTGGCCCCCGTGGCCCCACTCTGTGCCTCCATCCCCCGGCATCACTCTCCTCTCTCCCCTATGTGTGTCCTTACCCCCTCCTCCTTTGTCTGTCATATCACTCACCTGCATCAGACCCTGTCCCTTCTCTGGCCTCTCTCCCGACTCAGGTCCCACCACAGGCTGCACCTCCTCACTGAGTCTGGGGCTCAGGATGCCCTTACTTGTCACTGGCCTCAGATCACTTGCCTTTTAACTCCTTAAGAGCTGGCCTGATCTATGTTGCTTCTGTTTGGGGCAGGCCAGGGAGCAGTCGGGGATCAGGAAATGAATCAAGTACATGTGCCTTTCCACCTACATGTCCCAAATAAGTGGATACCTAGGGAGCTAGTGTACCTGCCTAAACAGGTTCAGCAATGCGGAAACTTCACTCTTCACACTCAAAGACTGGATTTGGCCTCTGGCCACATGGTTTTAATGACTACTAAAGCACCTGACCCAGGTGTCAACCCCAAATGAATTTCAGGGAGAACTGCCGTTTATCTCCTATATACATCTCTGGTTCATGATTCTGGGAAGAGCCAATCACTGTGGCCGTAAGAATAGCTTTTTCTCTAACCTGAGATACAGAGAGAATAGCCTAGAATATTGCTTTGTATGATTTCTTGTCATCAGGACTTCCTGCTTATCTTTTGGAGGAGACGGAGGAGCCAGGGAAGTGGATGAATCACCCCAGTCACGATGCCCAACACCACCCCAGCTCAGCTATTCTGCAGTGATTCACTCCTCTGGGCCCCTCAGTGCCAGGTGCTGAGCAGGGTCACCTGGCTTTACCTGGAGAAGGCACCCAACACCTTCCATCCTTCACTCTTTTCCTCCCTACTTCATTGAGATTGGCAAAACTTAAACAGTGTCCAAATTTGAAAATGCTGTTGTTGGTGGTGGTTGCTTCATTCTGCCTTAGGCCTTGACCTTGCATGGCCTGCTCCTTGTGGTAGTTATAGGTGTGTGGAGAGCCCGAGCTGGTACTGCTCTGGGGGCTCTAGTGAGCTTGCCATATGGCCCTCAGAAGAACCGAGACACCGAGGAGTAGAAGCATCACTACTTATGGGTGGGAAGTTTGGAAAACTGAGATGAACAGTCCTTTTTTTTTTTTTTCAGGATTCAAATATTTCTCAAGTGTCTACTATGTGCTGAGGTGCTTGGGATAGATCAGTGAATAAAAGAGACAAAAATCCCTACCTTCGTGGAGCTTACATTCCATCGGGAGAAAGACAGCAAAAAATTAATATACCCTTTGCTTGAAGTGGTAACTGCTAAGGACAAAGGTAGAACAAGAGGGAGGTTGGTAGGCAGGGATTTTTAAATAGGGACATTTAAAGTAGGCGACTCTGGGACAAAGACCTGAAGATGGGAAAGTGAACTTGTGCTTGCCTGGGGAAGAAGGGTCCAAATAGAACAGTGCTGTGAAAGCCCTAAAGCAGACAGATGCCTGCATGTTGGAGGGACAGCCAGGAGTCCAGTGTGGCTGGGGCAGGTGCCGGACGGTGGGATCGGAGAGGGACCAGAGGCCAGATAATGGAAAGCCTCTGAGACCAGTGAAGACCGTGACTTTTACTCCAACACACTGGGGAGGCCCTGGGGCCGGAGGGGGGTGGTGCAGGAAGACGGTTCTAAGCAGAGGAGTGAAAGGCCCTTGCGTAGATTGTAACTGTAGCAAAGCCATGTAAATGGTCTGCGCCTGGGTGGCTCAGTCAGTTAAGCACCTGCCTTCAGCTCAGGTCATGATCCCAGGGGGCTGGGATTGAGCCCCACGTCAGGCTCTCTGCTCCGCCGCGTCTGCTTCTCCCTCTACATCTGTGCTCTCTCTCGCTTTCGCTCTCTTTCAAATAAATAAATAAAATTAAAAAAAAATGATCTTGATTGTAAAGTTTGTGTTCTGGTCCAGAAGTCAGAAGTTTGAGTTGGGAAGAGGAAGTGTTTGTCCTCGAGGCTTGGGGGACATCGTTTTAGTAGGCAGAGTGCCCAGGATGATTTTCGGAAGAAAAAGTGGTGTTGGAGATGGGAAGCACCACTAGATGGGGACAGAGAACCGGGAACAAGTTCCCCGGGGCCTCTGGCGCCTCTGTTTCTCAGCGAGGCTTTGGCTATGGGAACAGCATTCGCTACTTTGTTAAGGTGCCGGAATCTCTGCAGTTTGAACTTCTGGATATAGAATTATGCCCCTGCTGCTGTAGAAATGCAAATGTTTGGAAATAAAATCTATGGTTTAAAGCGGACTGTGGACAGAATGCGGATCAGCACAGGCCCGTCCAGCCCCGGACCAGAAGCTGGGCTCAGGGGATGGGGTGGGAGGCCAGGAGCTCATTTGAATTCTTAGCCAGGACTCCTCACTTCTCATTCTAGAGTGAGATGTTTCCAAACCACGACTTGCACTGCTCTGTGCTCTTGTGTTTTCCTGTCATTATAATTATCCTAGTTTGCTCTTCAAGTCCATTATCCTGAGTTCTCCAGAAGCCGGCCTGAGTGCTGTGTGAAAGTCAAACACCACCCTACTGTCTAGGCCAAAGGGGAGAGAGAGTAAAGGTTTAGGTTTGCATACAAAAATTAAAGAGTTGAAACTACCACCTTCACAACTCAATCTGAAACCCTTACTTTGCCTCAGTTGTTTGGATAAGGCAGGTGATTTTATTTATTGATTGGTTTGCCCCAACTCTCCACCTTCCAGGATCTGCTTCCCTTTGCACTTGGTAGGATAATTTTGCCAGTTTTCCTTTGCCCCGTGTAAGGGGCAAGAGGAAAAAATGGAGGAAGGGGGACAAGATTAGGGACAGCAAAAGGGGTCAGGCATCAGGCCAAGGACTGATCAGAGAGTCTGGCAAAGGGGAAAAGAGAAAAATTTGAAAGGGGTGAGCAAAAAGACAAAATGGGGCGGGGGAGAAGATGGGAGGGAAGAAAGCCCCTCATACAAGCAGCCTCTCCCCGGGGAGATGAGGTAGCTAGCCCCACCTCCTCGTTCTATGGTCATAGTCATATCTCTTGGCCCAACCCCTGCCAGGCCACTACCATGCATGTGCGTGTGCGTGTGTGTTTAAAGTCACTGGGGCGGGCGTTGTGAAAATCCCAGCAGTGCCAGGTGGACCTCTGCCTGTCTTCCCCACAGGACAACAGCTGTTGCTTCCTCTGGCCTGCACTGAGAGGGGGTGAGTGGAGCTGGCTGAGAGGAGGGCTGGGCCTGGATTGGTGCCCACCCTTCAGAGGCCAGCCTCTCTCTCTTCCGGAGTTCCACACAGCCTCTGGATACCGATGGAAAGCCCATGAGAGTTTCCCTCCAGGCAGGAGCAGATCCAAATTCTGTTATCCTAACTTTGTTACTCCTAGGATAAATAAAGGTAATGGGCTCATTTTTGTAGACGGGGAAAGTGAAACAAACAGCAAGTTGGGGTCAGACGTGGGACTTGCTCTGGGTCTTTGAATTCTCATGACCTTTCCTGGAACAGCTGTGGGTCTGGAGGAGGCAGCACGGACAGAAGGTTGGAATCCTTGGCTCCCAAACCAATGCCTTTAGACAAGCCAGGATGTAGGAGGGGGGGACCTGCTCTGGGGTTGAGAGGCCTCATTAGGTCATTCTACCTCAGAAGCCATTATCAGCTCCCCTGTTAGCTACAGAATAAAATTCAGATTCCTTGGCCTGATAGTCAAGTTCTGCCACTGAAGCGCCTCAATTCTAGCCAAGGTGGTTTTCTTTATTTTCTTAAACACATCTTTCATAATCCTCTTTATCTCTACTCATCTCTTAACTGTTCCTTGAGATCCAACCCAAGGTCCCAGGGTGACCTGCCCCTCACACAGAAAATTTGCTCCAATGCCCCCCAATTCAGAGGGATCCTCTCCATCTCTAAATTCCTACAGTTCTGTCTTCAAGACGTACAATTTTCTGCCTTGAATCGTTGGTTGTTTCTTCATATGTATTTATCATTTTCCTCCAACTTACACTATCGATCTTCAGAAGACAAGGACCACCTATATTATACTTTTTCCTACTTCTCACAGGGATAGCTTAGGGCTTTGCATATAAATGATTCTTAACTGATTCAACTTCTAGGTTATTCATTGCGCCCCTGAATGATCTGAGTCCCAGGTGGGACGAGCAGCAACCTCAGCACTGGTTAGCAAATGGAGGAACTGACAATACAGCTCCCGGACTTCAACCCTGGGTTGAGGTGAAGTCATGACAAGAAGGTTGAGCTGCATGAAGCAATCCTTTGTGTTCAAGGACAACCCAGGAACTGCCCATGACATGCTATGCTGGTTAGATCAATTTGGGTTGGATAGGGCAAAGAAGTGACCCCACTGAGATTGTGGTAAGCTCACTCTGGGCAAAATCTTGGGGTTCCCCTCAATCACAGGGAATCACCCCTGCACCTGCTACGCTAGCCACTTGTTCTGGGAGGAAAGGAGGGAGAGAATGTGTAGAGGACTACAGGCAGAGTGTCGCCCTTACAGGAAAAACAAAAGTTTCAGTGGTGAACAGTCAGTGCTCTTCTTGCTGGTAGAAAAACCATCACTACTCAAAGCAAGATCTAACACAAATATTTCTAAGTTCTGGAGATTTGCCAGCCCTTTTCAATATGTAAGGCATAAGTAATTCTGCCTTTGCTAGGAAATTTGATTCACTCATTAGACCAGGGTTTCTTTTCTTTTCTTTTCTTTTCTTAAGTGTACTTATTTTTTTTAGTAATCTCTGCACCCAATGTGGATCTTGAACTCAAGACCCTGAGATCAAGAGTTGCATGCTCTTCTGACTGAGCCAGCCAGGTGCCCCAGACCAGAGTTTCTCAACCTCAGCACTGTTTACATTTGGTCTAGATAATTCTTTGTTGTGGGAGCTGTCTTGTGCAATGTCGGATGGTTAATGGCATCCTGGGCCTCTACCCACTAGATGCCAGCAGCCCCTCCCAGTTGTGACAACCAAAACTGTCCCCAGACATGACCAAATTGCCTGCCCCTGCCCCTGTTGAGAACTACTAAATTAGACATATGACCTTGAGCAAACTACTCTCTCTCAAACTTAGTTTCTTCATCTCTAGGGTAATTCTCATGTATGTAAAGCCCAGTGTAATGAGGCAATGAATTCCACAAATCTCAGGCCTTGGGAGCAGATGAAACCATGACAAGGATGTCAGCGTGGAAGCAGCAATGCTGTGGATCAGCACCTTGAAGCCAGGATTTTAAAGACCGGGCCACTAGAATTGCAGTCTGAAACCTGAAGTCCCATCGCACACTCAGCACCTTTCCTGGTCCTGGGCTCAGGCCTTTGTAACATGCTTATACGTGTGTCTTTCTTGCTGAATTATACATGTAATCTGGGCTGGAGCTGTTTTATTTACCTTTATATTGCCCCCAACATTTGTCATAGTGCTTTTCTGACAGTATTTAACAACTTTAAAAAAATAAATTAAAAAAAAATTTTTTAAGGTAATCGACACAAGGCATGGCTAATAATAGAAAGCTTCATGAAGATGAATTTTAAGTCAGGTGTCAGAGGGGCCTCCACGTTGGCACAGCGGGGATGGGGGAGGTCACATGGATCATCTGGGGAATAAAAGAGGCTTTGCTGATGTTGAGTTGGGGAAAAAAGGGAGTTAGTGTAGAACCCAGGAGATCAAATCTAGTTACACGTTGTTTATACACCGTGGGATGGTTGAAATTCACGTTCATGCTGACCATCTCACTTTCTTCTTGCAGCCTCATGAGGTGAGGAAGGTATTCATCCCATTTTATAGACGAGCAAGCAGAAATTCAGTAGGTTATCTGAAATCAAGTCCTGAACTCTTTCCTCTGTGAAGCGCTGTTTCATTTTTGTAATTGTCTGTGCAGAGTAGAGGGGTGGTAGGTGGGCATCGAATGAAGGAAGAGGAAGACCAGGAGCCTTTCGTGAAAAGCCCCTACCTCTTCTCAGGGAAGCTGCAGCCTTGAGCAAATAGGGAAGAGGCATGCTTTGAGGTGGGGACAACAGCAGACTTCCTCAAAACCAACACTTGAGTCAGCCAGGCTTAGGCACCACCCTGCAAGTCTCCCACTCAGTGTTGGCCTACAGACCCAGCCTGAAGGATACAGATGAGCCACTGGCCTGTGTGGGCTTCACCTTCACTTGCTTGGCTGTGCACACTTCCCTGGGGGTGGTCTTCCAAGCAGAGCCTTCTTAAACAGGATTTTCGGGTTGAGACTTCACATGCGCTAGCTCAGTGGAGGTGATGGGGGTAAGAGTGGAAGGAGGTGAGGAACAACATCCTGGGTAAAGGAGGTGGCAAGAGCCAGGATGAAGAGGTGGAGGGTCGCACAAAGGGGGAAACAGGGATGGATGGAGATGCAGTTGGAGACATGGCGGGGGTCAGGTCATGGAAAGGCTACACCTACGAGGTGTAGAGCCTTACTGGAGTTGGAGAGCATGTGGTGTCCCAGAGAGGGGAGAGCCTGAGCAGGGGAAGAGACAGGGATGGAAGGGACAGTTTCAGGAACAGTCTTAGGTGTCAGGGCTGTGTGACTAATGGACTCATGCTCATATTAAGTACTCACCAGGTGCCAGGCACTGGGCTAAAAGCTCTTGATATACATCGTAATGAATTCTAATAGTGCCATGAGGTATAAAAGATTACCCCCATTACTAGATGAAGAAATCGCAACTTAGGGTGTTTTTAGCAAACTTAGATTGGTGATACACAGCCTGTAAACAGCAGGGCCAGGATTCAGCCAGGATTTCTGGTCTATTTGACTCAAAAGCCTTGCTCTTAACCACCTTGCAGCCACTGCCTCCCCATGGTGGGGTTAGGGAGCGGGGAGGGCCTAGGATCACAGATTTCTTGCATAGGTAACTGAGGAAACGGGAGACAGACAACATGGGAGGAGAAGCAAGTTGTGGGGAGGATGGGTTCAGTGTTGGACTCCAGTTCATACCGGCAGGAAGAGCCACGCCAGTACCCCCAATGCCTCCAGTACTCTGCACCACCCCCAGACTACACATTGGCCTTAGAACACTTGGGGCTCTGTGTTCTGACTCCTGGCTCCCATTCTCCAGGACATGGATGGAGTAGGCTGTCCTATGAGGAAGCCCACCACCCGGACAACACCCTGCAGGGAGGCCAGGCCGTGAGGCCTGTGGAGGTCAAGGGCTGCGGCTGGCAGGCTGTCTAGTTCTCATGAAGCGGCAGGTGTTGACGAAGAGAGTTAGGAGTCCGGCCCTTTCCCCACATGGCAAACTACAGTAAGAATCTGATCCTCTGGGCTCACAGGGCCCACCCTTCCTCATGTCCAGGCTGTGCTGTCTAATCCCACCTGACAAGCTGGAGGCTTCAGGGTCAGCGTGCGTAGGTTTCCGGGAGTGCTCAGACTCTGATAGGGCCTGAGGTCGGAGGTGAGGGAGTCAGCTGATAGTGTGATTGGGACCGGTGTGGAGGTGATGTTGGGGACAGCGGGGCTCCACGTTGAGGTCTCTGGTTCTCGACCCAGCACTCAGTGGGAGGCCCTTGTGTGTGTGCGCGTGTGGCCTCCAGGGCGAGTGGGGTGAGCAGCCGACCCTCTGTTCTCTGAGGGTCAGGAATAAGCAGCACTTTGTCCCTCAGAAACATGACAGTACTTTCCTTCTCACCTTTCCACAGGAGCACGGCCTACGGGCCAGAGAAAACATCAAAGAAAACCTAAGAACTTCGAGCCTTCTGGCAAGGAGCTGGAACTAAGTGTTCTGATGACAGCAGAAAGGAGGAGACCAGACAGCAACGTCTCTCTCCTCCCACCCATCCAACCCCCTCAGCACAGCAGCTCCTCAAACTCAGGGGACGCTCCCTCCTCCCAGACTGGTCTTTGTCCAGAGAGCTCTCTAGCCTCTTCTCACCTTTGGGCCGTCTTTGGCCTTGGCGGGAAGAATTCCTGCCCCTGCTCCTGCCCCGCTCGTCTTCCAGCCCCCCTCCTTTCTCCAGAGCAGTCAGTCAGTCGTAGTTCAGCCCGTTCCTTCTGTCCCCTTTGCATTTTTTACCAGAAAGGTTGACCAGAGCTGGGGATAATCGGGAAGAGTCGCTCACCCAAGAACCAGTTGGACCTCTTATTCTGTAAGTGTTACAGTTCACAGACCGGGTGAAGCTGAGACCTCCGGGTGGACCAAAGGAGTGGGGGGAGTGGCTGAAGGTGGCCGGCCAGCTGAGTGACTTTGGGCAAGTGTCTCCTCTCTCTGGGACATGAGGACCTGGGTTAGATTATCTCTGAAGTAGAGTCCAGCTCTTAGGGTATAGGGGAAGGCCCATGGGGAAGGCTGGGGGAATGCTGGAGGCTCTGGGAAGGGGCAGGCAGCCACTCTAGACCCACCTCTGCCTCCAACCACTTAACTCTACCAGCAGGAAGAATGGCACCAGCTGTGGCCCGGCTCCTGTTTCTCCAGCTTGTTATAGGGCCAACTTTGGTTGTGGACATCAAGGTGCAGATTGCCATCAAGAACTTCCGCCTATTACACATCGACTATCCCCGGGTTAGCTACCCAAAGGGTTTCCAGGGCTATTGTAATGGTCTCATGGCCTATGTGCGGGGCAGAAAACAGAGCTGGTATTGCCCCCAAATCCATTATATGGTGCATGCCCCCTGGAGAGAGATCAAGAAGTTCTGCAAGTACAGCGATAGCTTCTGTGAGAATTACAATGAATACTGTACACTCACAGAGGACTCCTTCCCTGTCACGATCTGCTCTCTGGCCTCTAGACAGCCGCCCACGAGCTGCCACTACAATGACACCCTAACCAACCAAAGGCTCTACCTGCTCTGCTCTGGAAAGCATGATGCTGAACCGATAGGTATCATCGGCCTCTACTAGGAAAGGCAGGCTTTCATTCTGAACTGCCCCCTACTGCCACCACACACCAGCCTGTCCCTACTCCCAAACCTCTGATCCCTGGTATAAGGCTTCCTCCCTGACTTCAAAGGCAGGCAGGATCCCCTCCCAAGAGACCAGAGAGGTAGGACAAATGTCTCGAGCTTCAGTCACCATGCAAAGTCATACTGCCTTGTAGCCTCTTTCCAACTTGTTTACCTCCTTTCTTCCCCTACCATCCTCCCTCTCCCACAGACAGTCTTACCCACCCAAGAAGCTGACTGTGTCCAGTTGGCAGTGACTGTCCATCCACTGGGCCAGATCCTGATTCCTGGATGGAGGCCCAGAGCCTCAGCTCACACCATGGCAACCGGCACCCAGTTCCACGTCTCAACTCCCCATCCCCACCACGCTTCTCTTCTCAGCCTTCCCCATCTCCCTTAGGACTCTCCACTCACTCGCCTACACAGAAGGTAACTTTAGCTACAGGGACCTCCCTGGGACCCTTAGACTCATTCTAGCCTCACTTCTCCAGAAACCCCCTCAGGTCCCAATCTGCTCCTCTCTATGAAATCACTGACCTTCTCTCCACATCACCTGTTCTTTCCTTTCTTCTCTACCACAGAGCCCAGGGTAGTCGCTCCCTGACATTCCCAACCTCCTGTAGTCACCCTGTCTTCCTTTCTCTGACCCTTTTTTCTTCCATCCTCCTCATTGTGGCTCACTGGAGTTTCAAGTTACCTTCTCTGACCTGTTCCCTCCAAGATTACTGCATCCTTTTCCTTCCCAAAGCTCCTCCTGACACCCCCCAAACTCCAAGATCTCCTGCTGACAGGACAGGGATGAGGTGAGCCTGGCTGTAGTCATGGAAGGTTTTAAAACCACATCTGAGTGATGTAAGATATAACCACTGGGTGAAACTGGGGTGAAGGGTATGTGGGACCTCTCTGTACTATTTTTGCATCTTCCTGTGACTCTATAGTCATTTCAAAATAAAAATATAAAAACACATCCGAATCAGTTCTCAGTTCATTCCTTTTTTCTCAGCGCACCAGAACTCCTTCTCTTGGAGCCCTGGAGGCCACCCATCTTTGGCTGTCTTCCTGGGCAACCCTTAGCAGTGAGTGGGATCTTCTGTTCCATGTGTACCGCGATGGAGGTGGGGTGGGGTAAAACTCAGCTCTGGGCTGGATATTAAAAATGGATTCTCTCCCCCCTCCCCCAGCTTGAGCATAAACTCATAACAGGAGTCAAGCCGAGTAAGTCCTTGGCCCATTCTAGCTGGTTTCTATTTCTCCAACAAAACCTGGGCTACCACAGATGAGGAAGGTAGAGGGACAGGGAAGCGTCTAGTTGGTGGTGTCTGGGTCATACTATGTCAAATCAGGAACTGCTACTCTCCTCTGAGAGATAAGGATGGTGGATACCAGTAACGTATGAATGCAAAGGAGCACATACTTCCGCCTCCGCATCTGGTTTGTCTCTTACCCCCAAATATATTCCTCAGCTCTGTTCTTAGAACCAGTTGTTGAAGGGAATGCTAACTTTTGGCTGGGAGGCATGAGGCTAAGTAGAGAAAGGGTGCAGAACTGGAAACCCTGACTCCTCGGGCTCTCTCTTCTCTCTGCACCGGTGGGCCCATCTATCCCTCATCCTGATGGAAGACAGGGCTCATTGGCTGCTGTACACACAGATGTTTATTGTTCCCTATGCTCCCTGGTGTTTAAGATGCCAGGCTGAGGACTAATTGACCCTAGTTGTTGAGGCTACTTCTTATTTGCTGCTCTTCTTGTCATAGGTGCCAGCACCCTTGTAGCCACTCACATAGCCTGAGTTGTCAGTCGTCTCTTCCCGTCCTGCGATGCCTTTGCCCTTGCCACTCTCGTCAAAGCGCTCCTTGTGCGTGCCTGTGTACTTGCTGGTGTCCGTCAGCCGGCTCACCCCACCCACTGTCGTTGCTTTCTGCAAGCCAGAGGAGGATGGGTCTGATCCCTCTCCCTTCCCCTTCGCTGTCACACCCCTTCTCTAAAGATGGCCTCTGATTCTGCTAGTACCCTATGCTCTGTTCTACCATTGGCATGGGGCTGCTTTCTCTAGGGCCCAGATGCAGCCATGGGCGGGAACTGTGGCAAGAGCCATCCACTCCTGAGAGTGGAAGAGTTTGGTATATGGGAATGCATGGGGGTGTGTGTGGATTTTTCTATTTCCAAGGGAGTTATTGTGACCAGGCTGCAGCCAGAGGACTTCAACCCCAGACCCAATAGGCAAGGTCCCTCCTACGGGGAGGGCCCTATTTGAAACCTAGAGTAGAGGGAACTTAAAATAGAGAGGGGACAAATAGGGAACAGACGGAAGGTGAAAGGCAGGAGGTCAGAGATTACACCTTACAGAAGATCAGGAAGAGGAGTGGGGATCAGGGGTACCAAGTCTTCTGCACTCAGCGTTCCCCCGCAAAGCCATCTGGACACTTGGGAATAAGTCTAAATTTTACTATTAAAATAGATGTGGACCCCTCTCTGGGCCACAAGTTCCTCATCTCTGAAATTACTACGTGATCTCTAAAGTCTGTTCCAATACCAACAGGGCACCGGAGGCTTTCTGCCTTGTCTCCCTACAGTATTACTAATGGCAGAGGTGAGGGACAGTGGAAGGTGGGAGGGGAGACAGGAGCAGCAGGGATCTAAGGAAGTTGGGTCAAGGGTGAGGGATGAAGCATGTCACTCACGGTAACACCAGTGGTAGCTGGATCCTTGCCTTCCATGAGTTTATAAACGTTCTCCAGAGCTTCATCTGGGTTCTTGTCCTTGAATCGTTTCTGGCTCAGTTCCTTCATTGCCTCCTGGAACTGTTGAAATGTGATGGTTCGGGCATTCTTGGCCCTGGTCAGCCGGACAGAAATCCAAAAACTCTGGAACATGAACTCATCACCTTCCAAGGTCCAACCTTCCCCTTACTCGGATTTGGCCTCTTGACACTGAGTGTCCTGAGGACAGGTGATAGCACAGGGCCAAGGACCCAGCAGGTGCTCAGTAGACCCATTACGCATATTCTGCTCCATGTACCCTTCCATGTCCCACTGCCTTGTTGGTTCTACTCACCATCCCTACCTCCCATCTCTGGTCCCTTACTTGACTTTGCTGAATACGATGTCCACATCAGTGGAGGTGACTGTCTTGCCATCCATGATGCCACAGTCTTTGCATAGCTTGGAGAAGTTTTTGTTGTTCATTTCAGTGCCACTGCTTGATGATTCTCCAAAGACCGCAAACCGCTGGAAAGTTTTCCCTGCTTCTGATGCCATGATCAACTGGAGGTGGGGGAGGACAGCGGGGGGCGGGGAGACTTGGGGGTGAAGGAGGAGGGGACGGGAGGACTGAGGAGTAATAAGGATGGGAGTTAAGATAAAATCCGGGTCAGTAATAGGAACAAAGCCCCTCTTCCCTGTCCCTCTCTTTCCTTTCCCCCCTCACTCCCATCCCACCTACTGTTTCCAGCATTGGGGTACTAGTGTGGATCCTACAGACTGAATAATCACACTAGCACCCACTTCCCCACCACTTTTGTGCCCCTAAGAGTACCCGAATGGTGTCTGACCCTTCCCCAGCCTTTGTTTGTGTGTGTGCAGGTATGTGGGAGCCGGCTGAGCAGAGAGACTGTGTGGCAATAGGGAAACAGGGGAGGAGAGGGAAGCTTCTATGACCTCAGCAGTGTTTATGTGACATCACCTCCAGCCCCAGCTACAACCCTAGTCTTGGGAGTGGGGTCCGTTCACTTCCCCACTTTGCATGCTACATTGAGCAAGTTGCCAACCTTCTGATCTCTCCAGTTGATCAAGCTCTCCCTCATCATTCCAGTCTTCTGGGTCCTGGTCAAATCGGTTTATGCTCTGCCCCAAAAAGCCCTGCCCCAAAGCTCTGCCCCCAAAGAGCCCAGGGAAGGGGTTAATGAGAACAGGCTGGCATCAGCCCAACAGTGCCCTCCTTTTTAGTCTCAAGCCCAAGATACTGACTGACGTGGAGAATCCCAGTGGCTTTGGCAGACCAACCTCAGTGAGAACTTTAAATGGTTTCCAATGTTGGGCCCAACATGGAAAGAGCACAGGCCTTGGAGTATAACAGATCTGGGTGGGTCAAGGTGAGCGAGGTCAGGGTGAGGGTGAGTCTCAGACTCTGAAAAGTTTCCAGGTAAGTTTCTGTGCTGGTCAGGGATGTTCCTCAGGGGTTTCTCTTTGCCTGTTCTCTGGTCAGAAGCCATATAGATGGATGGACTTCAGGGATTCTAAAACAGAGCAACTAGGTTGGTGACTTCCCTCCCCTTCCCTTCTAATCAGTCACCAATTCCTATGAATGTCACTTCCTTGTCTAACAAACCCTTTCTTTTTTTTTTTTTTTTTAAAGATTTTATTTATTTATTCATGAGAGACAGAGAGAGAGAGAGAGAGGCAGTGGGAGAAGCAGGCTCCCAAGGAGCAGGGAGCCCGATGCGGGACTCGATCCCAGGACCCTGGGATCATGACCTGAGCCGAAGGCAGACGCTTAACCATCTGAGCCACCCAGGCACCCTAACAAACCCTTTCTTTCCATTCCTATTGCTCGCACACTTAGTCAAGTCCTCGTCATCTCTTATCTAGTTGATTTTTCTGGCTTCTAAACGATCTCTCTCCTAGGGGCACCTGGATAGCTCAGTCACTTGATTTGAGTGTCTGACTTTCGATATCAGATCTGGTCCTGATCTCGGGGCTGTGGGATTCAGCCTGCCTGTCATCGGACCCCTCATTCTGTGGGGAGTCTGCTGAAGATTCTCTCTCCCTCTGTCCCTCCCCTGCCCCTAAAATAAATAAATCTCTAAAAGAAAGAACAAATGAAAGAATCTCTCTCCTAAATGGAATGCTCCCCCCCATAATCCATCTTTATCACCCACCCATCAGATTAATTTTCACAAAACTATTTTTTATCCATTAATCCTGCTCAAGGGGTGCCTGGGTGGCTCAGTCGGTTGAGCAGCTGCCTTTGGCCCAGGTCATGATCCCATGGGGTCCTGGGATTGAGCCCCATGTTGGGCTCCCTGCTCAGAGGAGAGCCTGCTTCTCCCTCTCCCTCTACCTGCCTCTCTGCCTACTTGTGCTCTCTCTCTCTGTCAAATAAATAAAAACCTTTATAAAAATGTAAAAAAAAAAAATCCTGCTCAAGAATGCTCTAAGGATCTTCAGTATCAAGACTCGTTGCCTGTCATTCAAGAACAGTCACACTAGGCCCACGCTTTTACCAAACAACACCCACCTCTCATCAGTGTTATTCTTCATCTGGAACCATATGGCTCGATAGGCTACCTCATAGTGGCAAGAGCATAGCCTTGGAGAGGAATGAATCTGGGTGGGGATTTGAGTCCTGGATTTGTTATTTACAGCACTAGTTGGTTGGCCTTGGGCAAGTGACTAAAGCTTCTAAGAAATCTCTGAGCTTCCTTGAGTCCCTCACCTGTACTGTGAGGACAATAATAGTATTGCGGGATAACACATAGGAAGTACCTTGCACATAGTAGCTAATATTAAATTCTTCAAAGTAACTTGTGTATTTCTGCCCTCAAACTTTCCCTCATGCTCTCTTTCTTCCTGGATAGAATGTTCCTCTCTCCCACTCAAATACACTGTGGTTGTACTCCTCATAGGGTGGTACACTGTAGAAACAAAACCCTTTTCCTCCTCTGAATTAAACCAAGATAATGGTTCCTACTCTGTAGGCTGTAGTCTCCTGGGAGAGGATTTCTGAATTATTACAAGGGCCCCTGGAATCTATATGTACACAGAACACTGATCATCAACTAAATAAATGATATGCTTTGCACACGGTAAGTATATACATAGGTGTTATCATGATCAGAATTCTATACAAACTGGGGTGCCTAGCTGGCTTGGTCAGTAGAGTATGTGGCTCTTGATCTTGGGGTTTAAGTTTGAGCTGCAGGTTGGGTGTAGAGATTACTTAAAAATAAAATCTTAAAAAAAAAAGAATTCTCTACAAACCCATTTAAAAGTATTGCTGAATTCATGGTTTGTCTCCATCAGAAGATACTAAAACCATGAAGTGGGAATGGAGATCTCTGATCTCCCACGTGAGAAGGGTGCGAAATGATTGCCGTAGAATTTATTGCCCAATCTTGTATAAGCATCATTTTTCTTAACTTTTTCTATATTTATTACTTCTCCCACCTACTCCACCACAAGCTTCTAGAGAGGGTAGGACTACCCGTCACACTTCTTCGAATTGCATGCATACAGTGGCTTGCACACAGTGGGTACTTAAGACTGTCGCTTCATTGAAGGTATAGTTTGAAGCCGCTTCTGGCCCAAGGGAAAGAAGTTAGAGATTACCCTGGTTGGGTCACTTATAGCTGGGCTGCGCTGGGACCTCCCTGACGGAGAAGAACCCTACCTTAGGGCTTCTGCCTCATTTCTGCCTCTGGGAGGCTGAGACCCCTAGGCCGCAGAAGCAAACAGATCCCAGTGGAAATTTCCCACCTCCTGCCCGCCACACGCCCCTGCTTAGGCCCCTTATCAGGTTCCCCCTGAGTCATCCTGACCCAGAGACGAATTTAGATGCTGGAACCTCCAGGTCCCTCCCTCCCCCACTCCAAGTAAGACTACTTTAGACACATCAGAGACTGCCGCAGGCAGGCAAGGCAGAAGCTCTTGCTCTGGGCGTTCTTCCTTCCCCAGCTCCAGGAGGGCCAGTGAGCTCTCTCTCCTGTCCTAGACAGCTTCATCTATGATCCTAGGTGGAAGCCTGTCGGCAGGCTTTTCCTTGTCCAAGAGAGTGTTAAACTGGCCTCCAGAGGGGAGAGGGGACTAGGCAAGCTGCCAGGGTGCCCAGCTTCTGGGCCAGTTTCTGAGGGAAACAGTTATGAAGAGAGTGGGGGAAGGGAACAGAGGAAAACTTCGGTGCTCCAAATTGGGAGAAGGTACGGGGGTCCCTTAGATGTGAGGTTGTTGAAAGCCAGGTTTAATGCTGACCAGTTCTCCTACTCTGGGTCACCTCCTCCCTCTCGGCCCCTCCTTCTTTCCAATAGACCCTGCCAAGTGGGGATGAAAGGGGCATTGATGTCCCTTGGATGGGAGGGGGTTGTGGGTGGTGAGGGTGGTGGTGGGGGGTGGTTCTCAGGCAGGAGGGGGGAGGGCAATTTGGGGGTCTTGGGGGGGCAGTCTGTGCTGGTGTTGCCGTTGGCAGCTCCAGTTCCATTGGCCATTGTTCCCAACTGGCCTGCCGCCCAGCCCCCGAAATGGTAACTGAGGAACCAGGCTGAAGGAAGATGGAGTGAGGACCCTGGTGGGGAGGCGGCGCTGGAAGGGTGCAGGTGGGGAGAAATTCAATCCGGTTTCCTTGTGCCTAAGACAACTTCGGAACCCCATGGGAACCCCACCCCCCAACTATCCGATTCCAGGTGGCCTTCCTCTAGGGGCACAGGGAGGGTGCATCTACGGTGGGGGGAGGACAAGGTGAGTGAGGAGTCTAGGACGGCAAACCCACCCCTGGCCCTGAGAGGGACACGCAGCAGTCCCTGAGAAACCACCGCCTGGGCACTGAGATTCAGCCGGGCGGAGCTGGTCTCACCCTCCTTCTCGGGGCCGGACTAGGAGGGGTTAGCGCCGAAGCCACAGGGTCTCTTGGGCTCCAGCCCAGGACACAGCGTCCTCCCCAAGCCCCCACTCCACCCCCGCGGAGTTAACTCCGCCCCCGCGCCTGTTTACCCTAGAGTCGGAGCCCCTGGGGGTCCCTGGCTCCTCCTCCGCCCCCCCCTGGGGCCTTGACCCGGGAGTCCCCGTCGGCCATCCTCTCCCCCCCCCCCCGCCTCCTGCGATCTCCCTCTATTTATAGCGGCTCCCCGCATTCCCCGCCCCCCCCGCCTTGTTTTCCAACTCCTCAGGGAGCAGCCAAGAGCAGGCGTCGGGACGCAGCAGAGAGAGGAGGTACCAGGACCCTGGGCACCCCGAAGTTGAAACTCCTGCGCCCCCGACGGTCCCCCACCCCTGCCCCGCTCCTTTGGTGCTGGCACACCTGCCCCTCCCAGCCGGCGAGACCCTCGCCTCCTCAGCGGCGATCCCCGCCCACCTCCTCCTTCCTCAATCTAGCTGTGTTTACCCGCGAGCCCGGTCGAAATCATGGGGTGTCAGCACCCTGGGTTCGTCTCCCCACTACTCGTCCCCACTACTGAGTCTGGGGGTGAAGGAAGGAATCACAGTGCGATAGGCAGATCCAGGTCACGGGTGGGGGGCGGTGTTGAGGGCGGGCGTGGGGATGCCCCGCAGGACTAAGGGATCCCAGCACACCCCACTACAGCCCGGTTGCGGGGTGGGGGAATGTCGGGGGGAGCGCGAGCGGAGCGTGGAGGCACCCCGCAGTTTGCTTCCCTTGGAGTACCCCTCGGGCCCCCAGCACAGCCCCTCCCTGAGCGGCAGACAGCCTGGGGCGGGGTAGAGGGGAGGCGTGTTTACGGGGGGTCTGGGGCGGATCTGCAGGGAGCTGTCGGCCCGTGGGCGGGCTGGGGCGGGCCGGGGGCGGGTCTGTGGGGAGCCCAAGCCGGGCGGGCCGGAGAGTCAAAGGCAAGTGAAGGTGGAAGCGGCCGCGGCGGCAGCAGGTAGGGGGAGGGGCGGGCGAGGGGCCGCAGGGCCTGGATGGCGCCAACCGGGCCGGTGGGCCGTTGGATCCCAGTCCCTCGGAGCTGACCGCTCGCGGGAAGAGGCCCGCAAGGAGGGGGCGCTGGGCTGCGGCGCACAAAGGCGGAGGCTCCGCGAGCGGCAGGGCGTGTTTGGGGCGTGCGCGAGGTTGTGTCCAGGGTCCAGAGCGCTCCTCGCCGGCCGCGCGAGGGTGTCGGTCCCCACGCGGACGGACATTGTTGGGACTTGTAGGGACAGGTCCCGGGTGCCGGGCCCGGTCGCTCCCAGCCGTCCTACCCATCCCTTCCCAGCTTGGCGCTCGGCCCTTGCGGGTCGTCGGGGAGGCTGGGAGGAGACTGTGGGGGCCGCCCTCCCTCCCCTTCTGCGCTCGCGGGACCCACACCGAGACTGGGTGGAGGAGAGACGCGATGGCACGAGGCTTTTTAAATTTTGTTTTTAAAAACGTTTAACTGGGAAACAGTCATGCTCAGCTATCCTCATCTCACTCGAGAGCTGTCAAAAATCTCGAGGATCCCCTAGTCCCCACTTCTAGTTTGCAAATAGGAAATCGAAGCCAAGGGAAGTGAGTGAGTGGGCCAAGGTCACACCCTTACTTAGCAGCAGAGCCGGGACTAGAATCCAGAGGTTCCGACACAAGCCACGCTCTTTCCTCCACATCAGCACTTCCTTCTCTCCTCCCCCAGCCTGGACTGATGATACCTGCTCTCCATGTTGCCCCGCAGGCCCCTCCAGCCTGTATTGATTCTAGCTGAAGCCTAGAAAAGACGTGTTCATTGGACTCAGGGGTACAGATTGGGGAGGGTTAGTGACCTGGGGAGGGTTGGTGACCCACGTAGTCTAGATCTTGGCTGAGGCTTTCTGCCCCTAAAAGACCCAGCTCCTGTCTCCCATGTCATTCACCTCATTGCCCTGTTTTCTCAGACCCCAGAGCCAGGAGAAGAGAGAACCCTGACCCCTAACCACACTGCATCCAGCCAATAGGAGCACAGTAAGTGACCCCACCCCCAGGCTGCAGACTCTTAACTGCCGATCTGCACAGGTGTTCTGCTCCTCACCAGCCCCACTAATGTCGAATGTATGCTAATTTATTCACAGTCAGGAGGGAGAGTCTTGGGAGGAAGGAAAGGAAGCATTGGGTCAGTTGGACACAGGTGCCCCTTGTTCTTTTTGTTTTCCTCTCCCGCTCTTGGTCATTGTACTCGGGTCATTTTTAGCCCCTTTCCCTTTGAGCTGCTGACCTTGAGGCTTAGTTGAAGGTCACAGTTAATTATGAACTCTGACTACTCAGTCCCTCAGTATCTTTGGAGTACCCAGTCACTGAGCCACAAGTTTCATCCCTGCCTAACTCTGGGAGTGTGGGGTGGCCCCTAAATATAGCCTGAGAAACCAGAGCTGCACTCCGGCCCCACCCTCGTATTTCCCTCCAGGACAGGAGAGGGGGGTCCGGAACTGTGGGTGTTGAGGGGCAGCCGTGGGGATGGCCAGTCGGAAGAGAAGTGGTATCCTGAGTCCTCTGCCACCAGCCCTCCTTCCCAGCGGCCTGGACATAGAGCTGGGAGCGGGAGAGGCTCTGTGCGGGTCCGGTTGTGGTCTTCAGCTCTGGGGCCCTCTGCACCCTGCACTGTCCCAGGTTGAGAGAGGAAGTCAGGTGTACGAGATGGGTGGGCGTGGAGGCCACCTCCCCAGTCGCGGTGTTTCCTCATCCTGCCAGGCCACCATGGCGGAGCTGCAGGAGGTGCAGATCACCGAGGAGAAGCCGCTGTTGCCGGGGCAGACACCCGAGGTGGCCAAGGTTATTAGTACCCCTGACTCCCAGGCCTGAATTCCAGACCTGCAGGCATCCCCCTCACCTCCTGCCTTCCCAAACCCATAATCTCATTCTAACCCCCAGCCCTGTTTTCTCCACCTAAACCCATGTCTCTCCCCTATAGACCACAACGGGAGTCCAGGCCTTTGTCCTGTCACTGCACTAACCTTCATCCTCTCCATGTCTCTTTTTGTCATCTCTTTCTGTCTCTCATCTTGGTGGGCTCTTTGCCTACCTTTCTTTATCTGTGTCTGTCTCTCCATCTGTGACTCTCTTTGGCTGTGTGTCTCTGCTTGTGTGTGTGCGTGCGTGTGTGTGTGTGTGTGTGTGTGTGTGTGTGTCTCTCCAGGAGGCTGAGTTAGCTGCCCGAATCCTCCTGGACCAGGGACAGGTAACAACTTGGGGGCAGTCCCAGGGCGGGAGGAGGGGTTCTCCTCTCTCCCAGTAAGGAGAGGGCTGCTACCGGGCTCTTTCTCCTCTCTCTGCTCCCTTTCCTTCCATTCCAGTCCTTTCCCTTCCCCATCCCTCTTTTTCTAATTCTTTGTTCCCGTCTCCTGTCTTTGCTCCTCCCCACCCCAACTCCCCGACTTTGGTGGGACTTTTGTGGGCCTCCTTCTTCTGCCTCTTTTTCCTCTCAGCCTGACTCCTCCCTGATGGTGACCTGTTTTTCTGCAGACTCACTCGGTGGAGACACCTTATGGCTCTGTCACTTTCACTGTCTATGGAACCCCCAAACCCAAACGCCCAGCGATACTCACCTACCATGATGTGGGACTCAACTGTAAGGACCTGAGCTTCCCTTCCCACTCCCTTCTGGGAAGAGGCTGGTGGGAAGGGTAAAACCCCAAGGGAAGGGAAGGGTCAGCACGGGCGGGAAGGGAAGGGTCAGCGTGGGCAGGAAGGGAGCCATGTGGCATTTCAAGGGGGAGTTCTGTCCTGGTCTGACTATGGCATAATAAAAAGAAAGAGGGTGGGTTCTGACTTGGGGATGCTTTTCCCTGGCTGATTCTACTGTTGGGGTGGTGGGGACTCTCTTTAGATAAATCTTGCTTCCAGCCACTGTTTCAATTCGGGGATATGCAGGAAATCATTCAGAACTTCGTGCGGGTTCATGTGGATGCCCCTGGAATGGAAGAGGGGGCTCCTGTGTTCCCTTTGGGGTGAGAATTAGCTCCCTCCCTCCTCACGAGGCTTCGCGGCACAGGGCAGGGGCAGGGAAGAGTGACCAGGGGAGGAGGAAAGGGGGGGACAGTGGAGACTCTGGTAGAGGGTGAGTAGGGCACCCTGAAGTGCGGGGGCACCGGGGGCAGCTTGGTGTTTTCCTTAACGTTCTTCTCTTGCCTAGATACCAGTACCCATCTCTGGACCAGCTTGCGGACATGATCCCTTGCATCCTGCAGTACTTAAAGTGAGAGGCCTGGGAACCCCTCCAAACCAGAGTCCTCTGCCCGGCACAAGGGGGCCCGTAGAACTCCTGTGTCCACCGGGGTTCCTGGGCATGTTGTGGTCTCTGGCCTAGATAGATCCTTCCTCCTCCATGCCTCCACCTGGCTGTTGAGAAGAGGAGGGGTAGGTTTGGAAATGGACTTGAGTCAGCAGAGTAGTCCTGATGGGAAGAGGCAAGAAAAGGGAGCGGGCTCTGCATGGCCCTGCTTCTCGGATCTGGAAAGTAGAGAGGAAGAGGAGAGGTGACAGAATCCCAAGGAGCCAGATAGACTTGTCTCTTTTCCTCCCACTTCCCCTCCTCCACACACACACCTGGTGCCCGGGAGCCCTGGGGGTGAGGGAGAGTGGGAGAAGGAAGGGAAGGCCTGGTGAGCCTCCGTGGTATGCACGCTGCGAGCTGATGACTCCCGGGCTCTGGCCCTGGCGCAGCTTTTCCTGGGCACCCGGGCTCTGGGCAGCTTGGGTTCACCTTGTTGGCTCTGTTTCCCCCGTTCTCCCTATTGTTCACTGAAGTTGTGTCTTTTTTTTTTTTTCCCCCCATCTTGCTTCAAGTTCCCTTCTTCCCGGTTCCTCACAAGGAACCAGGAACTAAAACAGAACAAGTTGAACTAGCTCCTGAGAATTGAAAATGGACACAGAGCTATGTAGGAAAACAGTGTCTGGTTGGTGGGTGGGTGTTTCCTTTCAAGACACTAGCTCCCCAAGGGAGAGCTGAAGTAGATTTCAGGGACCTACTGGCTGCCAGTGTCAACGGTTAAGCTCCTCGGCACCTTCCATTTTCACACCCCTCCAGGGAAGGTTGCGTTCTGTCCTTTGTGCGTGTGGCCTTGGGAGGGAGGATGAGGATTTTGAAGGGCCAAAGTTTTGGACACCAGGGCCCATTAGATATACATTTCTCTTTCGCAGTTTCTCCACAATAATTGGAGTTGGTGTTGGAGCTGGAGCCTATATCCTGTCACGATATGCTGTAAGAAATTAAAAGAAAAACCCAGACAAGGGAAAGGCAGGTTTAAGGCCCATGGCAGACTGAGTAGGAGAATATTGTTTGCTAGTGTGTGTTTGTGGGGAGGACTTGGGTACAGGGGTGGGGGGCAGGCCCCACTGGCTGGAGCTCAGCGGGAAGGGAATAAGACCCTGCCCAGCCTCTGATTTCCCTTCCTTCTGTTACTCCTCAGCTTACCCACCCGGATATGGTCGAGGGTCTTGTCCTCATCAACATTGATCCCAATGCCAAGGGTTGGATGGATTGGGCAGCCCACAAGGTTCGGAGGGGCCTGTGTGTTGAGGCCTAGGTGGGGGGGCCCCCTTGGGAGGGGGAGCGGAACAGGATGGATGAGTCACTTTTTAGCCTGGGTCTCTTCTCCTCAGAGTATCCTGAGCTTGCTCATCTGTCCCTTTCTCGTAGCTAACAGGTCTTACCTCTTCCATTCCGGAGATGATCCTTGGACATCTTTTCAGCCAGGTAAGTGGTTGTGGAAGGTGGAAGAATTGGAGGGGACCGGCAGGAGCCAGCAGGGGCTTGAATGCTTGGGGTGATTTCCTTAGATGGGATGGGATCTGGGGAGGGAAGAAGGCTTGCCTCTTCTCATCCAGTAATGGGTGACTTCTTTTCTCAATCCTATTTCTCCCTTGCCTTTCCTTCAGGAGGAGCTGTCTGGAAATTCGGAGTTGATACAAAAGTACAGAAATATCATTACACACGCACCCAACCTGGAAAACATTGAACTGTACTGGAACAGCTACAACAAGTGAGTGCGTGGCGTGTGTGCGTGCGCACGGGAGAGAGAGGTGTGGTCACGGGGAGGCGAGGCGGAGGGGGAAGGCTGGGAACCGCACGGAGCAAGGAGGGCAGGGTTTGGGGTGCAGCTGGGGCAGCTGCAGGCCAGACCCCCGGGGGATGAATTGTAAGGAGCCGTTCCCCTTTTTCTTGTTTACTTCCCTTGGGTTTTTTGATTCCCTTCCTCCGCCTTCACTGCCTTCCGGCCAGGGACCTGGGGTCCAAGTGACCACAGGGATTCGAGGCCTGCCTGCCACCTTCCCCTTTGGTTCCCACTTTTAATTATTGATAATTGACTATAATTTTGGGGAGGAAGACCACTTCCTCAGAGAGGAGATGGCTTCCATCCGGATGGATAGCATGGCCTGCCTAAAATTCTTGCTCTTCTTTGAACCCCTTCCTAGCCGCCGAGACCTGAACCTTGAGCGTGGAGGTGCTGTGACCCTCAAGTAAGACTTTAAGAGATAAAGCTTTGCCTCTCTCCCTGGATCTTCCCTGGGTGCTTACCTTCTTTAGAAGAAGAAAAGTCTTTTAATAGGGAATTTTCTTGTCACCTCCCACCCTATCCCATGAAGCAAATCCCACCATCTAATCTTCCCCTTTTGGGTTGTCTTGGAAGGGTCAAGGGGTTCAGAAGACTGTTTCCTCTTTGGAGGCGAACATTTTCCAGCTGCTGTTCTGGGAGGCCTGTGGGGGAATAGCAGGGGCTCACCGTCTCCTCCCTGACACTGTGCCTGTAGGTGCCCTGTGATGCTGGTGGTAGGAGATCAAGCACCCCATGAAGATGCAGTGGTCAGTAGAGAATTTTGGGGTGGGCGAGGGAGGGTTGGAGTCCTTGGGTGGTGGTCAGAGGGGTATCTTGCCAAGAGGCAAGCTCTGTTTGGAACTGGGAGAGCAACCATGGGGCCTAAGAGGCTGATTCCTGGTAAGAACGAAATGGGTATGGGGCTGATGGGAAAGGAACTGGGATCTGGGTCCCTGGGGCCCTGGGTCCCTTGGAGGGGAGAGGTCACAGGGAGTATAATGTCATTCATTCAGCCTCCTGCTTACACCAGGTGGAGTGTAACTCAAAGCTGGACCCCACCCAGACCTCTTTTCTCAAGGTCAGTCACCCTACCCCAGGCGCTGCCTGACTCCTGGCCCCCTGTCCAGAGCCATAGATTCTCTTTAGATTCAACTTCTAGGCCTTCAGGGTCCTGCATAGGTACAAGTGGGGTGGATAAAGAAAACAAACCGTCAGGGCCTGGAGTGGGGAAGCTAGGGAAGAGAGACCCTTTCCTACCTCTTGGCATGGCTGCTTGTATTTATATCTGTATCATTTCTTTCGGATGGCTGTCTCCATCTCCTGGACAGATGGCCGACTCTGGAGGTCAGCCCCAGCTGACTCAGGTGAGTACGCTGTCCTCTGTGAGATGGGATATTAATGGCACTGAACTATACACTTTGCCTCTCACCCCACCCTCAACCCGCCATGGCCTTGGGCTCCAGCTCAGCTTCGAACCTCATCTCACTGTCCCTTCTGCTCATCTTACTTCCACAGCCAGGCAAGCTGACCGAGGCCTTCAAGTACTTCCTGCAAGGCATGGGCTACAGTGAGTACGGGGGTCAGAGGCTATCATGAGAGCAAGCAAGAGATTGCTGCACAGGAGGAGGGATGGGCACTGAGGGGGAGGAACCATTTCAGGCCAGTTCTGGGACTTACCACGGTCTGCCAAATCATTGACCCCCTCCCCGCCGCCAGCCCCATTTGTCACTCTCATCTCCACCCAAGCACCCCACTCGGAGTTGCCAGCCTCTCTTTCCCACCTCTTCTCTGCCTGCCTGCTTATGCTTCTGTCTCCACAGTGGCCTCATCCTGCATGACTCGCCTGTCACGATCGCGCACAGCCTCCCTGACCAGTGCAGCGTCCATCGATGGCAACCGGTCCCGCTCTCGCACCCTGTCCCAGAGCAGCGAGTCTGGGACTCTCCCTTCAGGGCCCCCGGGGCATACCATGGAGGTCTCCTGTTGAATGACCTTTGTTGCCCTGGTGTAGGACCCAGCCCTCACCTCCCCCAGCACTAACCTGGGAGGTGCATAGGGCACTGGGCCAGAGTAAGGGAAGATGGGCAGATCATGTGGGGAGATGACCTTGATCTTTGATTGCTACCCTAACCTTGACCTCTAACCTGTGATTCCCCTCAGATCCTGGGAGAGATGTTCTAATATCTCTTAGGGACCCAGACCCCTAAATTATCCCTCTCCCTCATTTTGGTGTTAAGGTGGAGAGGGCATGTGTCCCCGCTCCCTAATCTAGGTGTCCATAGATAAGGGATAAGAGGTGGTTGTAGTTGCCCCATGGTGCCTCCATCAGGCTCTCCCTACTTATCCCATTGCAAGGGTAGGGGACTTGGGGCTGGGACTCCATTCACCAAAGCTGATAATGGCTTTTCATTAACCCTTCAGATCTCTGAAGAATATGGGCCTAAATGAATGTGTGTCAGAGGAGGCTTGCTGGTGGGTTAGTGGTCCTCAGGATGGGGTAGAAACATCTGGTGTGTGAAATGGAAGTTGGAATGGGAAGTGGTGGGCAATGAACAAGTACGAGGGAAGGATTGGAGCTGGGGCAATAGGAAGGGGCCTGGGGCCATTGGCTGCACTAACTTTGGTAGCTGTCTAGACAGTGTGTCTAGAGTGGGAGGGGGAGGGAGCTAAGCTGGGGCAGGGCTGCTTGGGGCTTGGCATAGGGGTGGGAAGGGCTATCTTGGGGCTCTGCCCACACTGTGTTATGTGTGGAGGGTGCCCTCCTGTGTCCCACAACTTCTGCTGTAACAATAAACTGTAGAGGAACTGAGCACCATTCTTCTTTGTCTGAGTGTACCTGCATCATGCCCCTTTCCCCAACCTCCCCATCCAACTCACATTGTCTTCTCAGATATGACCTGGGTACTTCATAGAATGTGTCTACATAGTCAAGGGCCTCTATTCCAATAGGGTGGTATTGTCCTTGATATTGATAGTATTTCCAAGTTTTGGGAAGAGAGGAGCTACTTCGGTCTTACAAGACTTCCTTACTAGTTATGGCTCCTTGAGAAATGCCGTAGGATTTCAGAGATGTCACCGACATCATGATCTTAAGAAGGAAGTATAGGATGCTGACTGAAGTGTTCAAGGACATCTTGTGATCACCTTCCTGCAGAATCCTCCCTGGGGGGCACCTTGATTCCCTTTTAGATGGTTCATTGCAATGAGTAGACCAGGCCTCACACAGTTACTGGAGAGGTTGGGTTGCTCATAGTTGGTCCCAATCTGAAGACTCCTTCAGGAGAGTAACAGCACAAAGGAGGATTTCCTCTAAGGGGTCTTCCTCCCCCATGAATCCAAGAATTTGGGGTGTTCATTAGACTATGTTTGTGGTTCTCTGAGAAGCTTTTCAACAAGTATGCACAGTACTCATCAAGAGGACTTGAGATACTCTCTGGCTGTTGGAGGCTGATTCTTGGGCTCTTGGGGCACAAGAAGTAAAAAATGAGAAGGCACTTTAGATTGTTATTGATAAGAGTACTGTGGATGGAATAGTACAAGGTCACTTGCTGGATTACTTTATAGAACCTCCACAGACAATGACATGCTTTCCTCAATGAAACTGAGCTGAGGACTAATGCGGCTTGATGTCTGGTGCTGACACACTTGACATGGAAGTGAGGCATGGAATATGTTATTAACTCTTGAGCATTTCATCACTCATAGGACTGAGTCTATTTTATTTTTGTTTATTTTTTTAAATTTTTTTGATCCATTATGCATTCACTAATTAATTAATTAATTAATTAGACAGAGAGAGACAGCGAGAGAGGGAAGACAAGCAGGGGGAGTGGGAGAGGGAGAAGCAGGCTTCCCGCAGAGCGGAGAGCCCGATGTGGGGCTCGATCCCAGGACCCCGGGACCATGACCTGAGCCGAAGGCAGACGCCTAACGACTGAGCCACCCAGGCGCCCCAGGACTGAGTCTATTTTAAATGCAGTAGCCTGCTTCTCCCTCTCCCACTCCCCCTGCTTGTGTTCCCTCTCTCACTGTATCTCTCTCTGTCAAATAAATAAATAAAATCTTAAAAAAGAAATAAAATAAATGCAGTAGGCCAGGATCAGAAGGGGGCAGGGGTATTAGGTGACTTGCAGAGTTCTAGAGCTAGTTATTGATGGCAAGGGTGTTGGGTGACCACATGCAGGGCAGGCAGCAAAGAGTGCTTAAATGCCACCCTAAAGAAAAGAAATAGCATAATTGGAATCACTGGACCAACCAGCTCCTAGGTAAACAAAACATGAGGAAAAGGCAAAGAACTCCAATGAGCATCAGCCTTAACCAGCAAGACGTGCTGTTGTGAGGGGCACTTGGCTGGTTCAGTCCACAGAGATTGAGACTTTTGATCTTGGGGTTGCGAGTTCGAGCCCCATGCTGGGTGTGGAGCCTACTTAAAAAAACAAAAACAAACAGAGGTGTTGTTGTGCATTATGGAAGGGAAGGCAGGTCTTCTCAAGCACATTTGCCTACACAGATAACACTGTTGGCAAGGTAATCTTCAGAAGAGGGAGGAAATGATATTTGTGTACACGTGTGAGTGTGTGTGTGTATATCTGTCGGGAGCTGGTGTGTGAAGTGGGTGGTGACTGTGTGTCTGTCTCTTATAGATGTGTCAGCACAAGAACCCCCAAGAGTTAGGAAGAGGGAGAGATGCTCTCTGCTGGGAGCAAGGCAGAGGGGGTTTGCTGTCCTTGACTGACCTCTTTACAGTGTTGGTCCCAGACATTCCAGGCTAGCCCATGGGGATGCAGTGCCCTCCTGTGGTTGGCATGGTTCTTCCTAACTTTCTCCAGGTCCCACTTCCCTTCCTGTATCTCTCAGTGTTCTTTGTGATTCTACGTGGTAGCTACAGAGGGAGGGAGTGGTCTGTGGCCCCTGCCTGTTCTCAGGAGAGGTGAGGGGACTTCATAGAAGCAGAACCACAAACTCCCTACTTTTTGTCTCTGCTTCAGGCTTAGGACTCCTGTTTCTCTCTTACTCTCATTCTCAAGGGATGTATCGTTTTCCTGACTTCAGGGACAGAAGCCCAAGAGCGCTAAGACAGGGTTCACTGGGAAGGAGAATAAAACTAGAAGAATATGGGGATGAGAGCCTGGTGGGGTCAGTTTGAAAATTCCGGAACTCATGAAGAGATTTTAAAGTGATTCTCTGAAGGTACACACAAAACAGTGAAACTGCAGCAGGAGGGATAGATGTCAATCTTTAAGGGCACTCCTTTACATACTTAAGGGAAATGTCACAGTGGGAGCCGCCACCTTTCTAGAGAGATTTGGGGACTAACAGGAAAGTGAGACTCAGTTCTGACTAGAGGCCAGGACTGTGGTCAGCGTAAATGGTGCCCAGAGCAATTAGGTTGTTTGCACCCTCTCTCCTCGCCCATATTAGAATTTCCCCCAAATTGGATAAATATATAGTAAAAGTAGAATGCATTCTGTATTTGACATTCAATACATCTAAAGATAGTCATCCTGAACAGAATTGAAATAAAAAGGAAATCGTCAACAACTGGACTCTTTAAGCATCCCCGCAGACTGGGGCCTGAGGGTGTCACCCCTGTCTACACCCTTTTTGCTTCACCTTTGCTAGTGGCCACAGGCTCCTCCCTGAGGTGCAGGGGTGGGGGTATGAGGGTGTCTGGCCAGCTGGCTCACTTGCACTCACACATACCAACCCACTCCAATTCTGGCGACTGTTCTTTGTACTCCATCACCCAAAGCCAGGAGCCAGGGCACTGTTTCCTATGAGGGAGGCATGATACTGGAAAACTCCTTCCGGGGAGGGGTGAAGTGGGCGAACTGTCTCACAAGAGCTAGCCTGGAGCTCTGTGGTTTTGTTCCTGGGTGCCTCTTGTTTGTAGGTGCTGGTCTTTGGCTGACCTCCCACCCTGCCCCAGGATACTCACTAACCTCTATTCTCTTTGATGCTGTGCCCCGTCTCCTCTCAACTACAAAAACCCAAGCCTGCGCTTATATACAAAGGAAGGTGGGGGAGTTCCAAAGGTTTACTGCAGGGAATCATTTATTGGTGCAAGAATGGAAAGCTGGTTCTAGGTGAGAGGGCAGTTGGAGATCTTACTCTTCAGGTTTTTTTTTTTTTTTCTATTTAAATATATAAAAATACATGTGTGGGGGTGGAGAATAAGGGTTTGGGGAAAGGGCACAGGGGTTCAGGGAGACTTGAAAACTGCTCCACATAACTTCTCTTGTGACTATTCCAAATAGCTTCTTCTCTGATCCTTTTTCCTAACCTGCGTGTTTCCTCATATTTTTTTCAGCTCTCATGATTCTAAATGTTTTCATTTACAACCCATCTCTCACGGCTGAGTGAGTAAAGGTTCGCTCGTGACTCTGGCTTCCAGTTGCCATGGCCCAGCTACCTTAGCCCTCCCTCCTGTCCACGGCTCTCAGGCCTGTCCTAATTCCATCCTTCGTCACTTCAGGCTCACCTGAAGTCACATTCTTCTGCTCCCTTACAGCCCTCTCCGACTCCTGGCTGGGGAGTCAGAGCTTTGGAAAATGCTCCGATAGTTCCTTTTTCTGACTCTGATGTGTTTTTTATTTTATTGTATTTATTTGAGAGAGAGACAGAGAGAGAGCATGAGCAGGTGGGAGGGGCAGTGGGAGGGGGAGAAGCGGGCTCCCCGCTGAGCAGGGAGCCGGACCCCAGGACGCTGGGATCATGACCCGAGCCAAGGGCAGACGCTTAACCGACTGAGCCACCCGGGCGCCCTGATCCTGATGTTCTAAGAAGCCATTCTCTAGCTTTATTGCATCTCTTGCTACGAAATGGTTTGAACTACAGATGGTTCCTGCTGGGGTTGGTAAGGTGCTGGGAAAAGGAAAGGAAGTGCTTGCTCACGGGAAGGGGAGAAAGCACTGATGGCTGAAAGCAGAGGTGGCTGAAGGCCAATGTAAGTGCTCCCGGGATGGGAGGAGGCAAAAAGTGCATGACTCACCCATGCTTGCAGTCTTCTGGCCTCTGCTCATTCCCCTCAGGTGCTGATAGCATCGGTGACCCAGAAACATATGAAGAGCCCCAGAGTCTGATGTCCTTCTCAAGTCTCCTTTCTGTAGCCCTACCAATCCTCTGTACCGGAAATAGCCAATGTCCGTATAATTGTGCCCCCTCCAGTTCACCCTTCCAAAGTCCTGACGGAAAGCCCCAGAGAGGGGATGGCAGGCTGGATTTGCCCCTCTGGATTTCTTGATGTGCCTCACGAGGCTGACCTATCTGCCATCCACCATCAGACGTTTTTGTCCTTTGGCTTCAGTTAGCATGACCAACAGGAGACACCAGTGGTAGAGGACAGAGCAGAAGGAGAAGGAGCATAATCCTCTGGCTTCCTCCTGGTCAAGTCCCAGCGGGCTGGTTGTATCCCTGCACCCAAGGCCACAGCTCTTACTGGGCGGCCCTCTCTAGTTTCTGCTCCCTGCTCCCTCCTCTTCAGCCCGGGTAGCAGCATTGTTCCTGCTCATTGTTCCCCCAGCTGGCTGGCGTGTCGCAGCACCTCCGACCCAGCATTGTTGTTGCTCAGCCCCCGGGGATTGCGCCACTGGCTGTGGCTCTGCCAAAATCCTGCCCACACCTCCCTATAGACTCTCCTTATTCAACTTGCCTCAGTTCTCCAATGTGCTCCCCGCTTCTTCTGAGCCCCTGACTCATAAGATGGGGAGGTAAAGGTAAGATAAGGGAGGAGACAATCTGTGTATTTGAGCTTTTCTTAAAATCAGAGAAACATGGGTTTGAGGCCCAGCTAGCTATGTGATCTAGTTA